AAAGACGATGTGAAAATACAATCTCTAGGTAAAAGACGTCTTCGTGAAAAGAAACGATATAATTTGAAAATTGAGAATGCAAGTAGCCCCCGCCTACCTGAAATTAACGATCCCGGTATTTATCTATCCTCGCATTAGCGCAGACGGCGTAGAAAGATATTTGACTAGTTGCATCAAAGAAGATCCGATTAAGTTAGCCACTGTGAAGTACATAAATCAAAAAGAGAGTTACGAAGCTGTACAAATAAAAAGGGAAGGGGGAGCTATTAGTTTCTTTGGTGCAAATAATGGTGCTTTGATTTTTTTGAATTTACAGTGACAGCAGCTCGAGAGCGAGAGAAAAGGAAAGTTGCATGGAATAACATGAGAGCGAGGGCAAGTCGGCGTGGGTCGGCAAATTGAAAAATTTACGATTGGAGCAGGCAACATAAGTACTAGCCTCGGCCTGAAAAGACGCAACAAGTGTTCGCTAAAAGCAGATGGAGGCGTGAGCACGAGCCAGGCAGGTATATTATCCCGACGATGTTTTCCACTGAAGCTGTCAGCAAACATTTTGACGTTTGTACGCCTGTACCTCGACGGGGAGCCGCTCGTCTTCTCCATTTTTGTCAACCGATTATGCTGCACCGCTGGACATTCGCCCATTAAAGCGGCACGCGTCCCCCCACGCGTCACACAGCTCAGTCCCTTGCTTCGGAACGCTTCGCCAGGTTCGTGCAAGGGTTGCCCTGCTGCACCTCCAAACTTGCATTTACTCCAAACGGAACGAAATTCATCATGAATTGGTTACGAGGATGCGTTTGGCCTCCGTTCCGCGAATGTCCGAATGCAAAAGCTCGATAGCCATAGGTTTTTGTCCTCTCGACGGAGCATGCACAAGCTGCAGAGCGCAAGCGGATACTACTTTTCGGCCGCCTCGGGCGCACGATTCGCGGAATCTACGAGCCAGTTGGCGAGCCTACTTCCGGTTGTCGGCTTCCTTCGATCTCATTCCAGGCGTCTTCTTCGACTTCTTCGTAAGCTCTGATCCGCTACTCGTTCACTTTCTATCGCCAGTGCTTATTGGCGCGTAAACAGGTCGCAAGCTGGATTGCTGCGACTAGCCGAAAATTGATTGATTACGTCGACGCCCGACGCCCGACGCCTGACGCCTGACGCCGTCGGCAATATGGCTGATAATTAGTGTTCCCGTGGAATGGCGTTGAGGCCATTCCTCCATTGACGGAGGCTCCAAGTTAGCCGAGCAAACTTCTTACGCAACTTGGAACTGTTGATCGGACGTCTAGCGAGTGCAGCTTGCGAACGATGTGCAAGGCAATAACGAAATCAGGGAAACGAGCAGGAAGATATTAAAATATCGTTGGAAGCGATGAGCCTTGATCGAAGATAGAAAGAACCGAGAGCACGAGAGGCAAAGGAAATAAGCAAGGAGCATTCCATCTCTCGAGCGATTCGTATGGGTCACCAGCTCCAAACAGGTGTCTCGTTCCGTAAGAGCCACGCGAGCCGAAGGGGCGCACTTTGCGCGCTCAGGCGACCTCCCTTCTTCTTACGTAAGCTCAAATGCCAGATGTCACGTGTTTCCTATGGTATCGCTGACTCTTTTCAAAGATGCATTATTGCCCGTACAAAGAAAATTCATATCGCGGCAATGCGCTGTTAAAGAGGTGGGAGCAATGTTAAACGCCCATTTACTTACGCAATTGTCGTTCATTTAACAATACCAGTAGATTGACGCGCGACTCTGCAACGATTTATTCAAGTTCGCTCGAGCGGAACTGCCTTTTCATTTTCCAAGCTGACGTCGAAAAAAGGATCGCGAAATGTATCCTGCAAACGTATACTACTCGAGCGCGGCAAGAAAGTAGCTCGCATAGAAATAGTAGGTTCCTGTAAAGTTCGACGAGTTTCTGGAAGGCAGTCGGTTCACGCTTTACGTCGTTCGGGTGCGCCACGTTACAGTCGCTCGATTTCGTCGCTCTAGATCGCGCGTTTTTATACGCACACTGTCTTTCGGCTATCGAGCTATTGTGTCCTTTTCGAGCGTATAACCACAATTTTATTTTTAAGAATGACTCGGTATCTATGCGCTAGCTTGCTTCTACCAGATTTTGGCCATTTTTTTGCGCAACATAACCCAGTGCAGAATGTTTAGCAGTACCTCAAATTTTGATCTTACCTCTGTTTTTCTTTCGTTGTATCTAAATTGAGCAGTTTGCAGGCTGCGGCCGTGTCGAATACAGCTATTAATCAATGGAAGAATGCTAGAAAAAATGGGTTGGAGGGAAGGGCTTGTTATATTTCTACCAGCAGTCCATGCCTTATAGGCGTACTACATGTGCGCTTACTTTCAATATTGATAACTTACGTTTATAACATAGTTCACATGTATGAATAAACACACATTTTTGTCGATGCACGAACAAGTTTAATCGAATCAAAATTGAAGAGAACCATCAAAAAATTCAACTAATGTATTAATTATGATACTTTTATCGATAGCAATCGACGAAAATGCCGTCTTTTCCATTTTTAATATATTTTTAATAGTTGATTAAAAGCAGGCGACAGGATAGCTTAGGATTATGTAAGCAGTAATAAATGCAGAGAAATGAAAAACGAGAGGACGCCGATAGGCCGTGTGAATCAGTGAAAAGTAGTTTGTGCTCATGACGTTGTTATTTTTTTTCTTCTGCGAAGTAATCAAATTGAAAGAGCAAGCTTTCCAATCACTTCATTTGTCTATAAGCATTTTTTGCATTGAACAAAAACTGCCAAATATGAAATTCAAGATCATACACGAATGCATAGCTTGTACAATTCTCAAAGTGATTAATTATTTGCCGGAATAATAAGTTCTTTCTCGCTAATACATTTGCATGATTGATAAATTGTATAATAAAATAATAAAATGCTCAAAGGAATATCGTTTTCCGATAAACTTAACTCCACAGATATACCGACAATGATTTACGTATACTGGAACATTGCACAATCGGCATCTCCTCGAAGTGCTATCGGCATCGATCGCTCTGTCGATCTCGTGTACTCGGGTGCTGCAACTGTGACGTTACGTGTACACAAATGCGTTTACGCCATGTTTTATCAGCTGCGTGTGTCCGCAAAACCGCAGAGCGAGCGCTCAAATCTCAAGCGTTCATTCGCTTTCAACTATACTTTTTGCACAGTTTTTTTCCTTTCAAATAACGTTTTCAAATACGTTTCAACCATTCGATTCATTTAATTGTTTTAATATTATACAATTTTTCGCAATAAAATACTTCTCCAAAATTTCATAAGGAAAAAACAATCATTGAAACTTTGGAGTAAGATGTTATTTTATTGAATGCACTTAATAATTTTAAAGCTGGGCTAGAAAAAAATTACCACTATTCTTTTAATGCATTTTATCCTCTAACATTCTTAACCATTTCTTTATTTCGTTGATTAAAATCTTGATGATAAAGATCCCTCGAATATATAAAAATGAAGCGATAGATGAAAATGAGAGAAGCAAAAGCTGCTAATAAAGCCGTCAGAAAGAGTCCATTTTTCGCATACAATCCTCCATGCTAAATGACACCTTGGGAAAAAATATCAGTTAGTTATAGTAGTCAATGAGTCAATGTGAATTTTTAAAATACGTTCTTCTAAACATTTTGACGTTATATATCAATTAATGTCTAGAAATATAAAAATACCATATCGAGAATTCGCGTGAAATATATGTAAGGCAGAAGAACACATCTCGTTTCGTGAGCGTACAAGATAAACAAGAATTATCAATCAGTCAAGCGATGTATGAAATTTTCTGTCAGGAATCACAATCGTTCGAACGATAATTGTAATAATCAAGATGTGTTCCGTAAGAATGCTATTTTACATAAAAAAGAAGTATCGGTAATCGGTACGAGAAGTATTTAGAATTGTTCATTCTATTGCGTATGGAAGAATTAAAGGTTGAATCGTCCAGAAGCAGTGAACTCATTGGACCGCGAAGTTAACCGAGGAAGAACACGACGAAAGCCGTGAATAGATATGTTCAGTGGAGAATGGTAAGGGAGATTTTGAAAGAAAGCATTGAGTCGATCTGTGAATAAAGCAGTATAGAGCAAGTATAGAAAAGCGAATAAAGCGAGCGAGAAAGAGGTCGACATAAGTGGAGGAGGAGATTCGGCGGTAGAGCAGAGAATAAGCGAGGAAAGGGAAAGAGAAAGAAAGGCTTGCGGGAGGAGAGGCCGAGGTATATGCATGCAGGAAACGTCGTTTACGAGGAATCGCCATCTCTGAGAGGCAGAGCGGCCGTATACCTGCGGGAGGCAGGCGCTCGAGCAGCCTCTCTCAGGAATTGGAATTGGTCCGCGTACCGGGTCGAGCGCGCTCCCTAACGACCCTCCCTCCTCTACTTAATCATCGATTTCGGAGCTATCCCCGCTCCTTCTCTATACAAAGCGTCTTTTTGTGCTCTTTCATATCGCCGTTGATTTTGCAGAGGATCCCGATAGCATTGCAACTGCGCCAGACGAGCGCGTGCTAAATAAAATTGAGAATCGCGCGAACAACTGGCATGTGAAGGTTTTAGTCGGCGCCGAAAGTGAATGAATCCGAGAGGGAGAGCGGAGAGGAAACATATAGGCAGGGCAGAGCGGAGAAAGAGAGAGAGAGAGAGAGAGAGAGAGAGTGCGAGGCGCGGCCGAGCAGCGCGAGAAAGGGAAAGCAGCTTATATAGCAAGAGCTCGGCCAAGTTATAGGTAGTACGCGTACGTATCGTATCGGCTCCTAGCAGACCGCTCGCTCTGCGCGCCGAGCAGCCAAAATACAGCGAACACACGTAGCAGACAACAAAGGCGCTCGTTGCGAGCGCCGGAGAGACGAGGACAGAGAGATGTATGGCTGCGCCGACTGTGCACGCGCACGCACACACGCGCGCGCACGTGTGCACAGCCCGCGCGGAGAGAGAAAAAAGCAGCCTGCGCGATGAGCTCGTTTGAGGTTATTACCTGAGACTAGTAGCTCGTCGTTGTTGCTCGTCACCTCCGACGATGCCATCTCCACCATGTTGTGTTGTTGCTGCGCCTCTTGCATGCCCAGCTCAATGCCGTTCGTGTGCACTTCTTCGCTCGCTTGAACACTCGTGCTACTGCTGCTGCTGCTCGTGGCTGCGATGCTGCAACTCTCTGGCTCCATTGCTTTGGTACTAGCTGTGGCGCTGGTAACGATGTCACTGCTGCTCAACGGGGTATCCATTTGACTGATTTGCCGCATAAGCATCCCAATATTACTCCAAAAATATAGCTATATCTCTATACAACTTTCCTGCGCCCTGTCCCCACTCACACCTGTCTTGTCCAATTCAACCTGCTACTGCCAATCCAGCTCTGTGCGATACAGCACTTTTGTTCACGCACAAGCCTACATGAATAAAACTGTCCGTCTTGATTCACCGGCAACTACTGTGCAGAACAGAGTATAGCGGTAAAACAGAACACGCGTAGCACGGAACGAATATCGAGCAGGTAGTCTATACCCCGATCATTTGTTCTCGATACAAGACGCATACATAACAATTTAAAAATAAATAATGAGACATGCGGTACCAATAAAAATAATTTCTTTGATTGCTCTCGTCTGGCTGCTGCTGCTACTGCTGCTGTTTCCCTAACTTGCATGCGAGGAGCGGACGCACAAGCGAGGTATATATCAGAGCTGGTGTGCGTGCGTGCATATAGCTAGCCGCTGTTGTGTGTCAGTATGTGCACGCACGTACTACTCGTGCGAGATGAGATAGAAAGAGAGTGTTGTCGTTCTGTCTCTGTCTCTCACTTGCCCGTTCTTTGGCTTTTTCTGTCTGTCGCGCGCACAAACACACGCACTCTCTCTCTCTCTCTTTCCCTCTCTTATGTGCACTTGCGTTCTTCTCTCTCTCTCTCTCTCTCTCTCTCTCTCTCTCTCTCTCTCTTCTCTCTCTTTCTCTCTCTTTCTCTTTCTATCGTCTCGCAGAGAGGGTACACAACAAGAGAATTAAGAGCGCTTTGCTCTTGGCACGCCAAACTGTCACCTACTCTCGTTATGTCTCACGGTCAATAACGCCGCGGTCGCTATCGCTACCGCCACTAGCACGACCACCGTCGTCGTCGACGAGAACGTTATTCAGCAGTGTAACATTCGGCACTCGGGCACCCTGGCACTTGTCCTTTTCATCTTCGTCATCGACGCTGTCGTAATCGCTGCCGTCGTCATCACTACCGCGATGTGCTGATTGCCAAGGCCCCCCCTCCTTTGTCACTTTCTCACCACTTGAAAGACACTGCTTGTTTCGTCGCGTCCGCGATTGTTGTCAATAGGAATAAAGATGTGTGTTTTAATCCGCGCTCTTCTTGCACTCGTGGAGTCGGAGGTGAGGCAGGTTTTGCCGGTACGAGCACAGGCCCCACCACGAGAGAGAAAGAGGGAAAGAAACGAGTCTCTCACGGATAAAAGTGAGAGTGAAGAGGAAAAATCGAACGTTAGACAAATGTAGGTCTGTAGGCCAGTCGACTTACACACTCTGTGTTAGTTGGTTGGTGTGCGTATGTATCGAGAGTCGGGTGTAAGTACTGTAAGTGCACGCGCACGCACACATATACACGCACGTCACACACGGAGAGATCGCAGGAGGCAGAGACTGCACGAAACACTCGAGGAAGCTGCAGGCGACTGTCCTTGATCGCTGTCGCGGGTAGAGCTAACGACGCGCTGACTCCAGCTGCTACCTCGGCGATGCTGCTACACGTTCGCTCTTTGTCTCCCGCATGTATTCGCGCCACCGCCACCGGAACACATGCACACATATACGCACGCACGCGGCACGCACTAGAGAGAGACGTCGCAGCCCACACACGCGAGAGATATGCTCTGCTCTCTCGCAGTCGCGGCTCACTCGGCAGACGTTCTTACTGACGGTCGCTGTACTCGCGTCCCTGACCGTCGCCGACGGTCAAGTTTGCGCCCCCCAGCCCACCGCCCCGCCCGACCGCCCCGCGACCTCGCCGTGCTACTCCTTGTTCTGCGAGCACTGCTTACCTATATATACCCGCCGCCGGCTGTTGATCTTTGTTTCGTCTATCACTCTCACTTTCCTCTGCGCAAGCTGCCTGCACAACAATGTTAAAAACTCACTCTATTACTTCCTGTGATTTATTATTTTTCGCTGTCACGCCCAATAAACTCTCACCACAATAATTAACCTTGCGTCGCCGCTGTCGTCTGCAAGCAGTGCAAGTACATACATACATACACGAACAATCTTTTATCTGAGCAATTATCGAACGTTACATATACCTTATCAGTTATTCCTCACGACTACGTTTTCAATGCAATCATCGTTATGAATGTGAAAAAATGTCTCATTATAAAACAGCAACGAGCTATAACGAATAAGCAAATCAGTTTTTTAATTATGTTTTAATTAACTTGAAGATCTGTTTGCTTTAAGCATATTCGCGCACACGCTAAACGACGATTAACAATGAATACGTTTTGAATGCAGCAACGGTGAATAAAAATATTAAAGGAGTGAGCGGGTGACCGCGTTCTCGAATATATGTAATTTGACCGTCAACCGAATTCGCAAAATTGTGCACACACGTACTTATCGGTGATCGGGATCGCGCGCGCAACTCCGCGAGCTGACAGCGACGCGTTTCTCAGTACTTAGTGTGTCTACACGAGTATGTTAGTTTTTATGTGTACAGGCGCGAATCAGCAAAGTTGAGAACCCCAAGCATAATAATTCAATTGCGTTACACAACAAAATGTCATAATTATTTCATTGTTTTAGTAAGCTTTTTCAATGTTTTGAAAATAATAAATAATTATTACTGTACGAATAGATAATTTAACTAATTTTTCACATATTTCAACTACTGTTGCGTACTTACTGTAAAAAAATGTAGCGATCGAACTAAATTACTTGAACTTCAACCTGCTGCATAATACCTATTCAATTCAATTGTTTTGCTTTAGCTTGTTGAAACGGATACTGCAGGCGTAAATAACTGCTAATTCATAGATGTATCTGAATTTCGAACTTATAAAGATTGATATACGTTTTACTATTTCGATACTGTTTTTTAAAACTAAATAAGTAATGAATTTAATTTTTTCTTTACAACAGTACATTTTAAGCTTATAAATAGTAAATAAACTATTAAATTTAGTTAGAGAATTGATTAAAGTTCATCTTGCCAGTGAGTAAAATAATTTTATAATTTTTATTTTATAGTTGAAGCTATACACTTTATTACGCAAAATTTTGTATAGATAGAAAAGTTCAGCAATTTACAATTGTGACATTGATAACTTCATTTTAATAACTAAAGCAGTAGTGGTATTGTCTAGAGCTTTAACATTTATTTTAAGTGTGAACGATATATTTTGTGAATGATTAGAATATAGAAAATATATGTCCAAAGAGAATTGTGACTGAAAAAAATAAATGAATGATAATTGGATGTAAATGAGTAGAAAATTAATTTTTTAGACATTTTAGCATAAAATACATAAGATTAGACATTACCACGATTTATAAATGTAACCACAATCACTGTACAAGTGTATGAGCGACTTTCATACCATACATTTTGAATCACAAACAGTAGCATGCACCTGGCGATTTTGTAATGCACGTCTTTGACTTTCGTTTTTTTGCAAGAATTAAATTGCCACGACTATTAAGGTGTCGATCTAACGTCTATTTATATACCACGAATGAAAAATATTTGTCACGACTTTTCTTCAATGTTTTGCCTAAATTATAGATCATACATGATCAAAACATTACTGACAATAGATGTTATAGATAACGACAAATTATTTTCGCAAGTTTTTTTAGTTAGAAGTAGTTCAAAATGTTGAATGATAGGTGAAATTGGCATATTTTTATTAGAGAACTTAAAGATTTTGAACTGACTAAATAAAAATTTTTTTCGAAATTGAACCGAAATCACCATTTTATTAATGTTAACACGTTTGTAATCTAAATCTCGCGATTCTGATCAGTACGGTCGTTTATACATCATTTCAAAGTCGCTATTTAAGCAAGCCTAGAGGCATTTCAGTGGTCGATTGGCTGAATCGTGGTTCTCTCTTTCTGACTCTTACGAGCCTACTAAACGAAAAAAGTAGGTCAGGTCGCGTCAGGTGTCACAACATTCTCGGCGGAGTACAGCCCGGTTATGGGAGCGTTTTCTCTCAACCAAGCAAGTGCTGTCACCATGTTATAATTACGTAATTTACCGAGCGTAAATTTGAGCAGCTTACAGCCAATCGGGGCCATTTCATGCAAGCAAACCACACGCATGGCTTCTATCAGAACTTTTACGTGCATACTTTGATATAAAGCCAAACTCGTAATTTTATGCATCGAGACCAAATAACGCAAGTGCAAAGATAATATACATGTATGGTGCATCAACGTTCTTCAGTTCTAAACATCACCAGTCATTGTAAGAATAAACCCTTCTCTTTTCCCAAACAAGGAATTCAAACATTATTTCGATGATAATAAATTACTTAATTATTAAAATATGAACTTTAAAAAACTATCAAATCATTTACGAAACACTGTATTGGTCTATAATCGCGTTCGAGTAATAAATAATGTCCAAAATAGCAAAACTCCACACTAAACTTTTATATAAGAACTACATTAGAACGAAGCAATCAACCAACGGAACTGAGCGAAGAAGTAGCATAAGAGCGAATATAACATGAATACGGAGCACGTAAAATCATTACTTTCGGTTCAGAGTGCTGTCTGACGACAAAAGTGTTCAGCGGATCATCGCGCGCAAGCTCAAAGCTCGGCGACATTTACTTAGATACTTTGCCGACGTGCGTTGTAACTGATGCAAGCTCAACGAGCAGATCTTTTCCGCGATGTTTGCAATGATGCAAAGTAAGCTCGTAACTGAGCAAGCCCTACGTCTTCGAACGAGAAGATCAAAGCTCAAAGAGCAGCTTGCAAAAGAAGACTGACATTGATATACGTTGAACAAACATTACGCTATTACTCGGAAATATAAAAACATTACTTTTCTTCAAATTTCACATTTTAGTAAACAAAACTTTACTGCCGGAAGAAGAAACCTATACGAACTTGCGAACAGAGACCTATTGCCTATCGTTTCGCTACGAAATTAAATATCGACATTGTGTTGATTTTATTATTATCTCAGATAGAATTTTTTAAATAGTCGTCATATCATCAAAATAAATTGTGTAATTCAACGTTTAACTGAATAAATAACGAACGATACACATAAAACTTAAAGTATAAATATGTTTGTAGTATCATTTGTTTTGATACTTATATTTCATTGTTACGATCTTATTGTTCTTGCATGACTCATTCTGATCACAGAAAATGCATATTTTCTTTTTAGATACTTTGATGTCCACCAAAATTTATAAACGCTTTTGTACTTCAGTTTTTTCGCTTGAAACTTTTTTAGTGTCAGTAAATTTGCTCTGGATTTCAAAACTTTCTTCTTAGCAGTTTTACGAACCTTCCATTTCCTTGAGCTTTTATTTATTTTTTTTAATTCAATTACGTTATTCTGGCATGGGTTTTGATATGTCATTTCTTTAGTCGTCTGAATTTCACTTATACCTGATTGTGAGGATTGTTCTACCATTCCTAATTTTCTTATTTCACTTGTTTGTACATTACATTGTTCTGCGGCTGAATCTTCATTTTTACATTTTGTATCACTTTCGAGGGCATCTTGAAAGTTTATTGAACGTTCTAGATTTGGAAAATGAATATTTTCTTGCTGAAGGGCATTGTTATTCCGCAAAATGGTATGAGTATTATTCTTATTCAAACTTTCATTGTTTATTTTTACAGGTACTATTGCAGAAAAAATTTTATTTCAGTTTTTGGCTACTTATTAATATTTCATATTGTGTAGTTAACTAATATGTTTACCTTTGCAATTTTCTATATTTGAAATATTTGTAGTGTCCTGATTTGGATCTAAAACTGTCATTGGTGCACAATCTTGTTTTGATATATTATAAACCGTTCCTTTTTCTTTTCGTTGAATTTCACTCATGCCTGATTGTAAGGGTTCTTCAACCACTTCTAATTTTCTTATTTCACTTATTTGTACATTACACTGTTCCGCAGCTAAATCTACATTTTGATTTTTTATATCACTTTCAGGGGCATCTTGAAAGTTTATTGAGCTGTCTAGAATTGGAAAATGAATATTTTCTTGCTGAAGGGCATTGTTATTCCGCAAAATGGTATGAGTATTATTCTTATTCAAACTTTCATTGTTTATTTTTACAGGTACTATTGCAAAAAAAATTTTATTTCAGTTTTTGGCTACTTATTAATATTTCATATTGTATAGTTAACTAATATGTTTACCTTTGCAATTTTCTATATTTGAAATATTTGTAGTGTCCTGATTTGGATCTAAAACTGTCATTGGTGCACAATCTTGTTTTGATATATTATAAACCGTTCCTTTTTCTTTTCGTTGAATTTCACTCATGCCTGATTGTAAGGGTTCTTCAACCACTTCTAATTTTCTTATTTCACTTATTTGTACATTACACTGTTCCGCAGCTAAATCTACATTTTGATTTTTTATATCACTTTCAGGGGCATCTTGAAAGTTTATTGAGCTGTCTAGAATTGGAAAATGAATATTTTCTTGCTGAAGGGCATTGTTATTCCGCAAAATGGTATGAGTATTATTCTTATTCAAACTTTCATTGTTTATTTTTACAGGTACTATTGCAAAAAAAATTTTATTTCAGTTTTTGGCTACTTATTAATATTTCATATTGTATAGTTAACTAATATGTTTACCTTTGCAATTTTCTATATTTGAAATATTTGTAGTGTCCTGATTTGGATCTAAAACTGTCATTGGTGCACAATCTTGTTTTGATATATTATAAACCGTTCCTTTTTCTTTTCGTTGAATTTCACTCATGCCTGATTGTAAGGGTTCTTCAACCACTTCTAATTTTCTTATTTCACTTATTTGTACATTACACTGTTCCGCAGCTAAATCTACATTTTGATTTTTTATATCACTTTCAGGGGCATCTTGAAAGTTTATTGAGCTGTCTAGAATTGGAAAATGAATATTTTCTTGCTGAAGGGCATTGTTATTCCGCAAAATGGTATGAGTATTATTCTTATTCAAACTTTCATTGTTTATTTTTACAGGTACTATTGCAAAAAAAATTTTATTTCAGTTTTTGGCTACTTATTAATATTTCATATTGTATAGTTAACTAATATGTTTACCTTTGCAATTTTCTATATTTGAAATATTTGTAGTGTCCTGATTTGGATCTAAAACTGTCATTGGTGCACAATCTTGTTTTGATATATTATAAACTGTTCCTTTTTCTTTTCGTTGAATTTCACTCATGCCTGATTGTAAGGGTTCTTCAACCACTTCTAATTTTCTTATTTCACTTATTTGTACATTACACTGTTCCGCAGCTAAATCTACATTTTGATTTTTTATATCACTTTCAGGGGCATCTTGAAAGTTTATTGAGCTGTCTAGAATTGGAAAATGAATATTTTCTTGCTGAAGGGCATTGTTATTCCGCAAAATGGTATGAGTATTATTCTTATTCAAACTTTCATTGTTTATTTTTACAGGTACTATTGCAAAAAAAATTTTATTTCAGTTTTTGGCTACTTATTAATATTTCATATTGTATAGTTAACTAATATGTTTACCTTTGCAATTTTCTATATTTGAAATATTTGTAGTGTCCTGATTTGGATCTAAAACTGTCATTGGTGCACAATCTTGTTTTGATATATTATAAACTGTTCCTTTTTCTTTTCGTTGAATTTCACTCATGCCTGATTGTAAGGGTTCTTCAACCACTTCTAATTTTCTTATTTCACTTATTTGTACATTACACTGTTCTGCAGCTAAATCTACATTTTGATTTTTTATATCACTTTCAGGGGCATCTTGAAAGTTTATTGAGCTGTCTAGAATTGGAAAATGAATATTTTCTTGCTGAAGGGCATTGTTATTCCGCAAAATGGTATGAGTATTATTCTTATTCAAACTTTCATTGTTTATTTTTACAGGTACTATTGCAAAAAAAATTTTATTTCAGTTTTTGGCTACTTATTAATATTTCATATTGTGTAGTTAACTAATATGTTTACCTTTGCAATTTTCTATATTTGAAATATTTGTAGTGTCCTGATTTGGGTCTAAAACTGTCATTAGTACACAATCTTGTTTTGGTATATGATAAACTGTTCCTTTTTCTGTGTGTTGCTCTGAATAAATTAGTTGAATACTGTGATGAGAATTCCAAAACATACTAATCTGCATTAAGCTTTTTAAATCTATGCGAAGTGATAAATTAATTACAATAGATATATTTTTAACAAGAGTCTATATGTTTGATTATATAAATTTATTGATTTAGTAAAAAGTGTGATAAGAAAATTTTACCTGAATTTTCATTTTTTATTCTTATCAATCTCTTAGCTTCTATGTTGTGATCATTAATGATTTTCTCTCTCAAGATGCTATCACGAACAATTTTTTGAGAGTTGGGAATAACTTCATCATCAGATGTACTAGAGTCCTCAATCATAATATTATTTATTTTAATATTTTTTAATTCTTTTCGAAGACTCTTGTTACTTTTGGGGTTGTTGTCTACTTCATTTAATTTATTAATGGCAACCAATGGCACAACAGGTTCTTTAAACTTTGCTTCTATAGAATTCATTGACCTGTCACAATACTTTTTTGTTTCCTTTTTTAAACTGCCACTTTTGTCAATCAACGGTTTCTTTTCTTTGTTTTGTTTCATTTTTTTGAAAATTACAAACTCATCTTCTGAACAATACTCATTATTATCAGCTTTAGCTTTTTCATATGCATCAATACGTATGTCTTGAGTATAGTTATTGTCTCCTGGACATCTATATGGCCTAACATTTCTTCGTTTGATTTTTTTAGGAATGGGTTTCAACTTCTTCAGTGACATAAAATCATCTAAATTATCATCTACTTCAACATTCTTTAAATAATAATTAAATTATGTTTCAATAATACATCATCATATGAGCTTGACTGCAAGTTTAAATTATAAAAATGACTTACCACAGCTGCATTTGTCATTTTATTCACATCTAAAATGTTATTACTTTGTAAGAGAATATTATTATTAATAGATGACTTATATGTTGTATTTAACAAATTCAGTTTGAGTGAAAGTTTTGATTTTTTTTTAACAGGAAATTCGTTTGTCTCGTTGGCCAACATAATACGTATTTTTGTTACATAAACTAATAACACTTTCAATTCATCGTAGTTGACATTATTTATTTGAACTTGCAATCACTCTAAAAAAATTACATAAAAATATATCACATCAAATATTTGAAAGTTAGAAGTGTATTATCTGTATCTCTTTTAATACACATATTATATAATTATTAATTAATATTTATCATCTTAATAATAAATAATGATCAAAATTATTTCAGCAGATAAATATAGGTGGTTTGGCGCCTTTGAAACTATACGGTATGTATATCGAATCATCTAGCACTCATGTCTTTTGTTTTGTTTCTATTGCATGACTGTCGCGAAGATATTATCAGTATCTATAAAAATTTGTTGATAATAATGTTTCTTTTTAGCTTTGAGCAGACAAGCAACAGAATATTTTGTTTTTATTTAATTTAAGTATTTTTATTGATAGAGTTTCCAATTTAATCGAACCATGAAATAAATTTGTATTTTCTTTGTTCTACTTACGAAAAATATAAGAAACACATACACATACATGCATAATGTATTACATATGTGTACGTGCATGTATTGCCTCAATAATGTATGATCAGATTTTTGAATAAACTAAATATACTGCAAAAATTTTACTGTGATAATTTTAATAGCTTAAAAATACGTATATTTTATGCTTTGTGCAATTCAAATTAATTAGAATGATGAAAAATATTTTATAGCTTTGAAATCTTTGGAATAGTGTCATTTGAAATTAGAAATACATACGAACAGAATGCATAATCATAGCATTTAAATATTCATTTTTAAACTCAAAAAAATTTTCACGGTTCATAATGCAACATTTCATAACAAGATTCTTAATATAAATTTGGTTTTTGGTTTGAGCAGAAAAACTTAATAAAACGAGTTATTATTGCTATTATTATAGCATTTTTATTTATTACAATATTAGAGTTGATATTTTTATACAATTATATAATAACAATAACAATATATATATATATATATATATATATATTTTAGAAACGGTACGAAAACCCAGACCTTAGCATTTTTATATAAAAGTATAGTTGTTTATAAAATGTATAAACTTTAAAAATCTGGTATAAATATAAAAATATATTAGTAAGTCGAATTTGATATGCATTAACTCTAGTTTCTGTTTTCAACAGGGATTTACTAAAAAGTTGTTTAAAAAATTACTATATACAATTAAACGCCTCCTTGTTTAGCATTAGCAAAAATTTGCCTGGAAATGATGAGTCTTTGAATTTGCGCTGTTCCTTCGTAAATCTGATAAATTTTAGCGTCTCTCATTAGTTTTTCGACAGGATATTCACTGTTGAAACCAGCACCACCGAAGATCTAAAAACAAATCAAAATTATATTAGTGCTTGTAATTCTTTTATAATGTTTTATTGGGAATGAAAAGCAAAATACCTGAACAGCATCAGTCGCACATTTGTTGGCTACATCGGCGGCATAACACTTAGCAATACTAGCAAGCATAGTTCCTTGTGGATCTTTATTATCGAGTGCCCATGCCGATTTCATCCATGCAAGTCTTGCAGTCTCAACACCGATTGCCATGTCGGCGAGCATGAATGCTACTGCTTGATGTTCAGCAATTGGCTTACCAAATGCTTTTCGTTCCATGGCATATTTTGTAGCTTCATCCAAAGCTCGGTGAGCCAAACCAACAGCTCCACAAGCAACCTTTATATATATATAGAATAACAAATTTAATAAATTATTTTTATTAATTATAATAACCTTAAAAATATATGTACATCATTTAAAAGAATGTAAAAATTATTTTACCGCAGGTCTAGTTTTATCGAAAGTTCCCATAGCAACTTTGAAGCCAGCACCTTCTCCAAGCAATACATTTTCTTCTGGGATTCTAACATCTTCAAAAGTAACCATACGAGTATCAGAAGCTCGTTGACCCATATTGATTTCCTGAAAAGAAAAATCAACATTTGAGAATATAATTGATGCATCAATCATTATTTTCTAGCTCATTACATATAAATAGTAAATTATTTAAAGAAAATTCAAGTAAGTTTTGCGTTTTTCTTGAATTATTTTTTAATGCTCTAAAGTATTACAACTTTTTTGAGCCATGAACTTAGATCATTTACATAGAAACTGTCTACTATTTTATTAGTAGAAATATTTATGTATAACTTGTAAATGGTGGAATTTACTTAAATATTTTTTAAATCTTGATGGGTTTCTAATGTAATTCTCCATTCACACGAAAATTACTTACTTTTCGACCAGGAGTTACACCTGGCCATTCGCGTTCTACAATGAAAGCAGTAAAAGCTTTACTGGCTGGAGTTTTTGGATCAGGATTAGTCCTTGCTAAGACAAAGTACCAATTGGCAACACCTCCATTGGTAATCCACATCTTGGTTCCATTCAAAATCCATTCATTTCCTTTTTTCACAGCTTTTGTTTTAACACCTGCTACATCAGACCCAGCACCTGGTTCTGTTACACAATAGGCCTGAAATGAATTTTTCACTCTTAAAATTTTAGAATTAAGAATCTTAACTGTAAATTTTTTTCTTGGTGTTATACTTACTGCTACCAAAGGTTCTTCAAGTAATCTTCCAAGATATTTTTTTTGTTGTTCTTTATTTCCAGCAAGTATAACAGGTGTTTGCTGTGAAAAATATAGAAAATAAACAATTAAATTTCATCTTTAAAACTTAACATAGAAAAACTCATTTAAATATTTCTCACTCACCCCCAAACCAGATCCTTCTAAGGCTGTTTTAATACCGGTACAACCATAAGCTAAAGCTTCGCTTACCACACAACCATCAAAAATACCAAACTCAAGTCCACCTGTTAAATATAAATTATGTAGAAATAATCTTTATTAAATATTGAACTACGATGTTAGATTCTACCTAAACTTTGTGGAATGTGATGATTAAGAAGTCCAAGAGACCATGCTTTTTTTATAACAGGCCATGGGTACTCTCCAGTACGATCATAATGGGCTGCTACTGGTATAATTTCCTCTTTAGTAAACTTTTGTGATAACTCTAAAAATTCTTTCTGTGTATCATTGAGTTCTGAAATACATAATATGCAATTGATAAATTTATATTGAATTTTTAGAAAGAAAGTTATTAACTTATTAGTTAGCATCATTATTAACTAAATTAGTTAGCATATCAATTTTTTGTAATTAATTAATTACATCATAAAACTTCTAAAGTTATTGTTCTTATAGTCTTAAAAAATATATATTATGTTTAATTGATTGTGGATGTCCTGTAATTTAAACTTAATTCACCAATACCATATCAGATAACTCAGTTATTTTGAATCTCGTAATATTTATAAAATTGTTATTGTTTGTACAGAAATGAAATTGTATTAAATGCTCATATTGTGTGATACATATGCATAACATGGTATAGAAAATTATACATTATAATAAAAAATGGTATAGTGCAAATGCAAGTTTGTAACAAAATCTTGTAACTTACGAAAGTTATAATTTTTAGAAACTGCAGTTGTTGAGAAATACTTGGAAGCATTGTGCAAAACTGATGGATTAATAATCTGAAAAATATTCAGAATTACGTATTTAGAATATACATATGACAAATATACATATGCATATAAAACATGCGTGATAAGCAATAGCATTGCAAGTCACAGCAATATTATAGTTGAATTAAAATTAAAAAACTAATAAATAAAACAGTACCTTTCGAAGCATATTATCGCTTTATATGGTTTCAAACAATAAGAAAAACAAAAATAAACGCAATAGCGCCAAATTAAAAAGATGACTTTTATAAATGGTTTACGATAATTTGCACAATCAAAATGACCGAGTTGAAAACATATAGATATCTCAACTGCTTGACGACTGCACTAAGAATGATATCAATGTATATATATTTATGGAGTCGAGTACCGAGCAAAGGTTATTAAAATATATCAAGGCCTCGATTACACACATGTGTATACGACGAATATACGTGTGCATACATAATTGTTCGAACATCAATTCGCGACCCGCGAAGTTCAAATCATATCATTTTCGACAACTGGATATCAATATGACATCAAATAGTTTTTGTTCTAGCATTTGCAGCGAGGCACAACTTGCCATTTGATCTATAACCTAATTTGGTGTAACCGATACTGAATCGTTGAAAATCATTCGAATTTTGAACTTCGCGGCTTCCGAATTAATATATAATGCGTATGTATGTGGCGACTTCCCCCCAACGCGCTGAAGCAGCGCCAGGCGGCGCCACACTATCGACAGAGACGGCGAGAGAGAAAGCAAACGATAGTCCCGCGGAAGTGCTATTGAGTCAATCAGACTCGCCACTCACGTCCGACTCAACACGATTACCGGCTCGTTCAACTCTGGCAACTGACGCTCACTGCCTTTCGACATTGATCGCGCGAGTGAATCAAACATCACAGTGTTTTAAAGTGCATTGCCACAGCTTTGGCGTTTGGAGCTCGTCACGTTCATTTGTAAATTGTTGTCCAGAACCTACAATTAAATCGACTCAAAACTATCGCTGAATTCTTTCGCCATTTTGCCTTTCCTCAATAGTCCAGTAAAATTAGTGTTGAAAAATTTTAATCACAGAAGTGGATGCACTTTTGATATTTGGTAAATTGAGGTCAAAAAAACCGATTCTGAAATTTTCAGATTTTTAGGTTCAAGAGATTCTGAGAAAATCACGTTTTAAAACTAAAATCGCTTATATCTCGCGAACGGCTAAACCTACGATAAAATAAAGTACGCCAATCGAAAGAGCGTGGAATTTTACATCGGAAACGATGTTTTACTCGACTTTGATGAGTGTGAAATGTTGAAATAAAAAATAATAAAAATCAAATAGGAAAAATATACGTGAATGAGGTAGGAGGGGGAAGCTGCGATACAGCTGACGCTCTCCTCCGCCGCCCCTCCAGACTCGCGTCGAGTCGACGTCACTCGGCATCCTTCGGCTTGGTAGCCGAGTTTACCGGCCAGGAGAGAGAGAGAGGAGCAGAGCTGGAAAGCATTTTCAAACTTGAGCTCAGCCAGGATTTTTGAACTTGTCGCGCTTTGACATTTAGCAAGCAAAATTTGTGTTTCGATATTTTTAACATAAGTACAGGGTAAATGATCAAATAACAATCGGGTCAAACACAAATCATTAATCCCAAACTCACATGCTCCCTGATAAACATAACTAACTTACATGTTATTGATTCTCAGTGCACTGATAGCCGTGACGGGCAAGACGCACGACTGATATTTTCTATTTTGCGGTCGCGAGTTCAAATCCCCCTCATTTATCATTTTTTTTTTTTGATTTGGATGAAATAATCTTTTACGCAGCCTTTTTTTACATTTGTTTATTGCTTTTTTTAATGCTAATTAGTGAAACTATGTCGAAACAAGAATTCTCTACAGAATCGAAAATTTTGAAATACTCTAGATGTTATATTTTGCACTAATATTCGTACATAAATAATCTCTATTTTTCACAAAAGGAAAACAAAATTGTAGGCTCCTGGGCAAATTGTCAATACTTTTATATACATGAAATTTGGAAAATCTAATGCGTCAGTCTCCCTAGCAATTAAAAACAATTTTTTTAAGCAGAACAACAACGTCCAACAAGAAGGTAAGAGGCGTTAAACGGGCGTACGGTGTAAGTAAAGTTCAATTTCTCTAAAAACTTTAAAATTCATCTAAAATTAGATTTTTGTATACCGAATGAGCGTACAGAGTTTTCTTATTGAAACAATGACAAGAATATGTATTCATATAAATGAAAAAAAAAAGATTTTGTAGTTTCGGCATTGTACAATTGTATTTAAACATATCATATCTTAATCATCAGGTACTTATCTGTTGCTTTTATTTTTCCTTCAGTTTGGTTGACTTTGAATACAAGCTGTGCAGCGGCAATAACCCTTTCTAATATGAAAATATTTAAAATAGGAATTATTTTGTAATGATAAAATTATTTAACACGGTGAATTCAGCGTGACGTATGGATGGGTCATATTTTCAATTCGATTTTCTTACTATATAAATTATTATTGAAATATGTTGTGAAAAGACTTGAATCTTTGAAAGGTTTTCAACTATAGATTATTTACTCAGTTAACTTCAAATTAATTTGTCAATGTATGAAATTTGTTTGAGCTTTGAACTGAAACATATCTCGAAAATATGAAAAAGGTGTTTTTGAAATCGCTATGTCGGGAAGCGAAAATTGATTAGATTAGTATAATGTTTTATTGTTGAAATTCGAACTCGTTTTCTCTTGTTTCTTCTGCTAGCAAAATACTTTCTTCATTATCGAATTCCTCGGTTTCATATTCATCAATATTTTCTTACAAAATACTTGCTATATCATCAGGTAGTATATCGGCTTCCTCGATTTCACGTTCTTCCACGTCATTTTCTAATATGACTTTAGTTGAATTTGAAGCATTTTCACAAATTTGGCCATTACAATTTGTGCAACTATAGCTACATTTCAGTCCAGCTTTTTTGCATTTACACCGAGCCGTACTGCAATTCGTTTTACATCCACAGAAAACCTAGAAATGAAATTTATTATTTACCTTTTTTGAAACGGATAAAAATGAAATAGAAGTATATAATTTTATTACTATTTTCGACAAATGAAAAATAATTATTCATAAAGTTCTTTGCAGTATAAAAATAAACAAGAATTTATATTCTATTCCAAAATAATTTTCGAAATTACTCACCATCTCTACTAAATCTTTAGGTGCAATTGGTTCTGTGTTCATTATGGGTATCAGCATATTTGTCGTTCTTTTCCATCCCCACAATACTGGATCTAATTCAAAGCCCAGCCAAATTTGCATTTGGTAATATACTCGTTTAGCATGTTGTTTCAATACTGCAGCTGTAGGTGCTAAAGTTTTCAAGGATAGTTCTTTTTTTGCTACTGTTGTAGCTACGGCAAAAATTTTATACCTTAATTCTTGCAGAGATTGTTTTTCGTTGTCTGCGCCATATAATTTCATCATAACTTTTTCAGCAACTTTGTATAAATCATCAATATCTTGATATGGCTTATAGAAGATATTTATCATTTTTTGAAGGTCATCATCTTGTTTTAATAGTGCAATAATACTTTTTTTACCTTTACCGAATATAGCACTGGTCGAATCGCATCCACTGAAAGCGTGAGCAAATAAAATAAATTTTTGAAATTGGGAGTTTTCTTTACTTGAATAGATGTCTTTTGACTTTGGTACTCTTTTGTAAAAGTATATTTCGTAACCGTCACACTGTGTAATTAGTAGAACTAACAAATCAACATCATTACCAACTACTGTAACTAGATTGTCATTATCATCTTTTAATTCTAGAGCCGTACGAATAATAACTGTATCTGCGTCTTCATCTGCGATTTTCGTAGTGATCTCATTTTTCACCAGATATTTTGCAAGTGCATCCACAAATTCCAGTTTGTTACGAATGTTTGAGAGAAATTTTTTCTGGTCGATGGGTATTATTTTGGCATCAGAAATTTCTACATCAGCTCCAATATTTTTTTCTCTTCTACAATATCTTTCGTACGATTTTACTCCAATCAATTCATTATTATATCCATCAAAAACGACAGTAACTTTTTTCCCAAAGTGCTTGTAAATGTACGACACATACGCTTTATAAACTTCTTCATATGACAAATTGCGAGGCCAAACTACGGCATGCAAAAGCCAACCCCCATCTATTACATACATCATACTTGAATCCATTAATCCAAGTTTATCATTGCAAGTTTGAAACACGTCATACATTTTGCTTTTTTGTGAATCTCTCATTACACCTTTTTCATCAAACAAGCTTAACGGATATGGTGTAAGCTCATATCCTAAAGCTTCCAATTTTTTATTGGGATCCTCGTGAAAAGCAACATAAATCCTTTGAAAAATGAGATATATATTTATAGTGGATATTTCAGTATCATTCTCAAGATGCGTACTAACATTAGCACTTGCTAGATTTTTCACTTTATAAGTTCGTGATAGTGAAATATTTTCAGCATTTTTGCCAACCATACCTTCCATTCCCAATAACCCTTTTTCAAATGCTTTATGACAATCTATCTCTAGTCCACCAATGATTCCTGTAGAAAGCGATACTATTCCATGTTGTTGTTGATTGAAAGGATTATGATTCTGAATCCATGTTATCAATTCATTTATGTCATTTGTATCCCTTTTCATTCTACTATCGGAAAGGTCAACGTGCTGCTCGCTAGTGTAGGATTTTAATCCACAATAGTTTTCCAAACACTCCATGACATGAAAAACTGACGGCATAGAAAATAAATAACGGGCTACAACGCTGGTAGTCACGCCTCGACCATGCTTCAAGTCTTTCCCGAAAAATCTATTTAACGTTTGTTCAATAATCATGTCACTCCATACACCAGACCATGCTTTGTCTGATCTACGAATAGTGAAGTAGCCATCTTTTGTGTAACGTTCAAATTCATAATGATCCATTGACATTTCTAAAATTTCCATATCTTGAAGATAAATTTGGGCACATTTCGTATAAGCAAAATGGCCACTGGCATAAAATATTGGCAGCATATCTTTTATACTCTGCAAATGCAATTTCCAGTCGCCTAAGCGTTCGGCCTCCATAAACTGCAAAGCTATGGTTACACATTTTAAATATTGTATCCACAATTTGGCAGTTGAGTTCTTCTTTTCCAAAGAGTCGTATTTTTGTATCAATTCTTCCGTTAAATGTTTCATGAAGCTTTCACGATTAATCTCCTTGACCCTTGTCGGTCGTTTTTCAAAATTGTCAACAAATTTTTCAAAATACTCTTCTATTCCAGCGGTGTTTGTCATAGACTTACAAATGAAGATAGCTATAGCAGAAAAACTTAAAATGTGGGCTCTCATTGCTCTTGAAAACGCATGGCCCGTGAGCATTTTTTTCACTGATTCTGGCGCATATATCATCGACCACATTTCTTCAAGCCCACCTCCGTCCATGATGTAACCAATTGCTCCCAGGTAAGACATTAATAAATGGAAACCTCCTAAGCGAACGGTAACGTTTTTGAATTTATTACGAATTGAGAATGTTGACTGCGCAACAATACAACGAGCTTTCCAGTACAATGGCTGATCAAATGTTACGAATGTTGTTTTTTGACTTATTTTCTGAGTTTCCATAACAGCATGATGTAAGGCAGTATTCAATGTAATTAATTTAGAAGGTGGCAGATTAATGAAGGGTAAACATACAATTTTAGAGAGTGTATATTCAACATCTGCTGATATAACCTCCATAAACCCTTTCCATGATGGTAGCTTCGATATGTGAAGAGCTTTACCCCATACGTATGCAGCATAATATGTTGGAAAAATTGGCCGGTTCCCAATATGAAGTGTCTCTACAGACTTAAATTCTATGTTTTTCAATGCAGCTGCACCGACATCGTTAAACGGTATTATTTCAATTTTTTTTGTCTTGGATATTTTTTCTGCGGTTGGCATTTTTGTACATTTTTTAGAACCACCCTCTGTTACAATTGAAAAATCAGGAGTATAGACTGCGACACCCCCTAAACAATGAAAGGTTTCACGACCATCTAATGTTCCAACATTATGGTCAGTGTTATCAAATATAAATTGAACAAATGGACTATCAATATGTTGAATCGGCGGATTAATGATTACTGCGGCTTCATATAATTGAATAGATGCATATGATGCGCTGACTCCAAATTTCGAAAGAAGGTCAATTGCATTTCTCGATCCCGTTTTTCTATAAACATACATTCCAACAGCTAGTTGTAAGTTTGAAAGAAAATATCTCGGACGTAACTGAGTCACTATACTATGCGCAATCATGTCTATTTTCGCGAGTTTCTTCAGTACTTTTCTTTTTTGCTTTATCAAGTAACAGATCATAGAGGAAATTTTGTAATAACTCTGGAATCTCTGAATTGACGTTATCAAGAAAATTTTCAGCTGGTGGGTATGTTGAATTCTCGTATTTTCCGTTTATAATTTCAAATTTCAAAATTTCTGCAGCAAAATGTATAATAGCATTCTTTTCGAAATTGCTTATAGATTTTTTAGTGACCCAATCGCTACATGTTTGAGTCAAATCTATTTTTTGAAAATAAATAAGAGTTTCGCGACCACGATGTTTTAAAATATAAATATCATCATTGTATTTCTCTTCCAATCTGTTACAAAGTACTTTATTACTGATTTTTTCATTATTCAAACCTTGCAATTCCGATAAAGAAAAACGAAATTTACCACTTTCCTCCATGTACTCGCATATAGCTTCAAATACATCATCGTTCGATGGAGCATTAGGTGGTTGAGGGTTTTCGTTATGTATTTCGGGTACTGGTTCTGCAGTTTGTTCTGTTAAAGGCGCCTTTGAAGAATCATACAAAAAATGTTTGTAACACAAATAATGGTACTGAAAGTAATTTTCCCTGAATGGCGTATTAATTAGTCGGTTTGATACTGCTACGCCGAGTTCATCATTTCTTTTCGAAGCTTTTAGTACAAGATTATTATAAGTATATAGATGTTGTAAAGTAGATACTTTTTTGTGAATACGATCTAGTAGCTTGTTGCAAATAAAACAATACTCATCAAAATTGAACTCAATTGAAACGTTGGTTGCTGTAGGGAAATTTAGTGGAGGTAATTCCGATGAATCTCTCTTTCTCTTCTCCGTCAACTTTAACGCCGAATAACGTTGCCTACAACTCTCGTGAAATCTAACGCTTTCTTTTCCTTCCCATCGTTCATGAAGTCCATCTTTTCTGCATTGACTTTTGTTTATGAAAGTTTCGAGGCCTTTAGATTTCACAAGAGTAATTTTATCGGTATCGGTTTCTTGTAGTAGTGTACCACAGATAGTGCACATGTTTCCTTCCTCCATTATTAAAGTAAACTACAAATTATTATATATTACAAAATAAACGTATGATAAAAATCGGCATTGAAGTATCCATAGCAAAGAATCTCAAACATTGTATTATTCAAAAACATATCATTGGCATGTGGCATATCCGAAAAATTTCTGATTGAAGGTAGCTTTCTAAAAAAATTGTTATTGTAACACCTGCGTTAACTTATTCTTTTTGTTTTCAAAAGAGAAACTCTTACTCGAGTTTTCAGCTTATTTAATGCTTTACTCAAGTTGTAGGGGATAATATTCTTTTTATTAGTCAAATATAAGGTTATTGAAATCGATTCACGTGCATCCCAAATTGAGATGCAATTTTGAAATTTTAAGTAAATATTCTCGAAAAAATATTTTATTTCTGATTTTCAATAAACCATTTTATTAATTTTTTAACCACGTAATCAAACATTTTTGTCCATCGTTTACGTTAAAAACTGCTCTTTTCTACATAAAAACTATTTAAACTGTATTTTAAACACTGAAAATCGAAATTCCGGAAAACAGCCTTTTTGTAAATCATTTGTAGGATACATACCCAAAATTTCAAACTCGCATCTCAATTTTGAATGCTAAAGGGTTACTTTAAAGTTGGAAAAATACAAATCTGGGCAAATGCAAGTTTTAAAAAAAATTTTCCATGTGCTACAATGTTATTTAAAATTTAAAGTAATCGTTTTTTGATATAAAAAATAATATTTATAGATTTTTTACTAACTGTAGAATTATTCTATAAAATAAAAAAAAAACAATTTTTTTTTCACCTACAATAGTTGATGATAGATAAGTTTAATTAATTGTTATTCGACGAGGATGCTGTAGCATTAAAACGAACTACTGATTGAACATTGTCAGAGTTAAGTGGAGCGGCATTTACGTTGTCGCCTTCTCTTTGGTTGGTCATATTAGCCGTATTTTCGCTTCTTACGCAGAATTTGCATGCATTAGGACACGATGTGAGAATACACATTTTAAAAGCACTAAAAATACAATGATATACTCGTAGTTTGAATAATACATAAAGTATTGCAATTGTGGCAATACTATACATAGCATAATGAAAAGTGCTGTGACCAGTTTTAACCCAGGTTTTATACTTCCGATTTGATGTAATTATTTCTAATTCTTTCGACAGTGAAAAAACAAGTAAGCGCAACATCTGAAACAGTAAAATTTATACATTCTAGTTTGTCTCCTGAATTTCAGTTTACTGAGTATTATAATGATATCTATTCAGAACCGTTAATTGCCCATATTTTCTAACATCGTTAAATCTATATTGGTTATGAAAAGTATGTAAACAATTTTGTCTAATTTTTGTTTTGTTTTGAATATTAATTTCAGCAATGTCATTCGAATATAATAGGTTACAATTTTTTTTCTCGCTATATACGTAAAAATCAAATTGAGTAACCTATTTTTCTCACGTATAAAAAGATAAACTTTCCAGTAATTACATAAATATATTTATTGAATTAGGAAAATGAACAAATCATTGATAGCATTGGATAGTTCAACTCTCCAATTTTCCAATAGTTACTATAAAAAATGTGATAACTTACATTTCAATAAGACCATCAGCCTTTGGAATAAAAACGTTTTTCCGAAAATAATTTTCAAAGTTGGCTCACAATGTTTTTAATATTTATTTTCATTGAAAATAATCACAAATCTGATGAAACCATGATTTTATCGATTTTTAAGTCGAATTTTCATATCATTCAAATATAATGATCAAATACCAAAGAAAGGAATTTTCTATAAAAGGCAATTACTTGGTTGCTGTTATGATTATCGCGATGAATTTTTGTACGAAACACGCGCGATTATTACATGTAAAGCGTGGAAAATGTACATTGAGTAAACATTGTTTATCGCCAAAAAATGAACATATTTTTATAAAAAAGAACGTACTGCATTTTTTGCCATAGTATACTTTATAATTTGACTGTTCATTCTGTTTGTCTGAATTGTTTAACACAGTTACTAAAAGCGATACAGTGAAGCAGTCTGCACGAATGCAGATCACAATTGCGTAGTTGGACAGTATGAATTGAAAAAATTTACAAATTCATATTGAACCATTTGGAATGAAATGGAATTGTGACCTCACCTGTACCTGGACTGTTTTAATGTATCGTTTACATTTGGCTGTTTTGTTAGTGGACAGAAATTTCAATACTGTTCTATACGTAAAGGAAGATCAAGGAATACAGTGAAACAAATTTATTTAAAATCTAGATTGTACCGTGTCGAAATGCTAATAAAAAATACCGACTCACCGTTTATTTTTCATGTCAAAAGTTGACATCTTCACGCGTATTTCACAAAGATAATTCATCGCGATATTTGTCATAGTAAACGACTGCTACAAATTCAACATAAAATTTGTTGTTTCTTTGTGAACGTTATTTTCATCTCCGCAAATTGCAAAAAACATGGTGTAGCTACTGGAAAATTGTGGTAAGTAGAAAATACGCAAATGCTTACTGCATTTTTAATTTTGATTTCAATAATAAATATTGAGACTCTTTGCTTTGAATACTAAAATAATTGTATTGTACCCAAATGAAAAGAATCTAGTAAATATCAAAATATTCTCATCAGATTTTCAAATTGAATACAAAAAGCTCAGACAATCGACTATTGAAAAATATTTTTGACAGCTACTTTTAATCTAATTATAACCAAATATAAAAAAAAATTGTTCCTTAACAATAACAATAACTAAAATAATTTAAAGCAGCTGCTTTAAACTTTTATAACATCCAAACTTCTTGAAACTTACAAAAAACTGTTATTCCAAAAAATATACTTTCGCGTGGGTACTGATTGTGAATATATAAAAAAAAATAATGTTCTACGTACTTTGAGAATCTTGTTGGCACAACACAAACTGATTTACACACAATTTAACGATGGTATTGAAAAAATATTTTTAAATGAAATTTTCGTTCAAGATATTGTAGATCGATATGACTTGCACGAGAAGCAGTGCGTTAATGAGCTTTGATACAGATCGTTCAAAAGCTGAAGTCATCTATTGCGAATGAAAAAATGATTACCGCATGGCGTTCCAATATATAAACTGTAACGGTCCTATTTATGAGCTGTTTATTAAATGACTGCAACTAGTCTAACGTATTTATCTGTTAGTCAAAACAATACATTAAGCGGCGCTACCTTACTGTTTACGCGACTGTATACAAATAAGAGTCGAGTCAAAACAAATAGCGTGACGTCACAAATAATAGACATAGATATAATGAACCATAATATTGAGAAAAATATGTTAATTATAGATAATTTGAATATAACAAAGTATCAATTATATAGATTTTAACATACAGATTCACAATATCTTATTCAATTATAAATTAATAATGAATATCGATATGTAAAGTTAATTTATTTATTAACATAGGAAATATTAGAAAAATATAAATAATTTATATGTAAAATGAATAAGCATAGAACATCAAATTCATCTCATTGTATAAACAGTTGATTATACCTCCAAAAAAAGTTTATTTGTATATCGATGAAAACCTTTTTATTATCGTTATTATATTTGTGTGTAAAAAAGAAAAAAATATAAACTGTGTTGTTTAACATTCGTGCAATGTATCTTTATAAGATATGGAGAGAGTAATTGATTATTATCAACTATGCATTGCTAGGGTTTTTTTATTTTGTTATTGAAAATTGAAATCCCCTCAATATGGTAAGGATAGTCATATAATATAGAACGCCAGAAAATGTTGTTAATTTTTTATGGAAAAGTCAATTTCTATGTTGTGTTTTTATTTCATTTTTATCTAATCAATGGTAAAATGTAAAATTATATTGATTCTATAACTATAAAAGACAAAATCCTTTTTAAATAGAAATTTATGACAAATGAATATTGCTTTTTATCAATATACCAGTATACATTTGAAAGTAACGTAAACTGTGAAGTGGTTAAATTATATCCACTTAGTGACCTCATATATAAACATATACTGTCACGAAGTGTTTATATACTTGAACGCTAGAGTATATATACCGATATCGATAAAAGAAGCAATATTCACTTGTCATAAATTTGTATTTAAAAATGATTTTGTCTTTTATAGTTAGAATCGCTATTCTTTTAAATTTTACCATTGATTACATAAAAATAAAATAAAAACACAACATAAAAATGGACTTTTCCTTAATAAATTAACAACATTTTCTGGCGTTCTATATTATATGACTATCCTTACCATATTGAGGGGATTTCAATTTTTGATACCAAAATAAAAAAACCCTAGCAATGCATAGTTCATAATAATTAATTACTCTCTCCATATCTTATAAAGATACATTGCACGAACGTTGAACAACACAGTTTATATTTTTTTTCTTTTTTACACACAAATATAATAACGATAAAAAAAAAGTTTTTCATCGATATACAAATAAACTTTTTTTGGAGGTACAATCAACTGTTTATACAATGAGATGAATTTAATTGTCTATAAAAAAGTTAGCAACGGCGCTCTGTATTATTTATTTGTACAACTCGTGTCCTATAATTGGAATGCTATACGATAATCTTTAACACGTCGAAAGGATTCTAAATATTTTAAACAAAATTAAAAACTGCTGCCTATTTATTCGCAACTTAGTTTACCACAATCAATTATACTCTTTACATCTACATATAATTTTATTATTATTTTTTATGTGCAAAGTATATAAATTTGTAGAAACTCGAGTGTCACTTCCATCGCCATTTTATATCCTATTCATTATTTTATAAAAGTTTGAAAAAGATAAATTAAAATAAAAAAGTATTTTATCGAAATCGAGAAAAAAAAATAATCGAGCGGGATTCGATCCCACGACCGCAAAAACAAATGCAGCATGTACGTACTTTAACCATCACGACTATCGACGAACTAGGTGATTAAAGTATGAAAGGTAAATATGTTTATCAAGAAACATGTGGGCTTATGATTAAATTATGTGCTTGACCCGATCGTTAATTAATCAATTACCTCGTACTGATGTTAAAAACAAAAGCAAAGGAATTTGTTTGTGTCAAAACGCGACAGCCTCAACAATCGCCGCTGAGCTCCGAAAGCCCGAAATGCTTTTCGAGCAAATAGTCAGCAGCGTGTCTCCCCTCTCGCCCGAGGATCGACTCGACGCAAGAGAGGGGCGGCAGAGGAGCGGCAGAGGAGCTGTATCGCAGCTTCCCCCTCCTACCTCATTCACGTATATTTTTCCTATTTGATTTTTATTATTTATTATTTCAACATTTCACACTCATCAAAGTCGAGTAAAACATCGTTTCCGATGTAAAATTCAACGCTCTTTCGATTGGCGTACTTTATTTTATCGTAGGTTCAGCCGTTCGCAAGATATAAGCGATTTTAGTTTTAAAACGTGATTTTCTCGGAATCTCTTGAACCTAAAAATCTGAAAATTTCAGAATCGGTTTTTTTGACCTCAATTTACCAAATATCAAAAGTGCATCCACTTCTGTGATTAAAATTTTTCAATACTAATTTTACTGGACTACAACCGCAACTCACGAGAGCAGGTCTGGCGCGCATAGCGACTCCATGCCTAGCTCGTGCTCTTTCTACATCCATTTACATGTATGTATGTACACATGTATACAAATCTGAAACTGTAACAATACAACTATAGAAAAGTTACTATGCCTCGTATCTCCTCCCATTTTCACTGAAAAAAGTTAAGCACTCAGAACATTTGCTGTTCTATGATTGGCATGATAAATATTTTTAGTGAATTTTTATACACGAATCTATGCGATTTGTAGTTGTGGCTTATCTATAGAAATTTTTACGAATATTTTAAGATTAAAATAAGAATTTTTGTTATGATGAAAGTTTCTCTTTAGCAAATTATTAAATAATCAAATCACGATAAAGTTTAAAAAAAAAGTTAAAAGAAAATCTAATAATTTCGTCATCATTAAAATCATAAAATTTTCTCATTTATTAAAATTCAATTCTAAAAGTGATATATTATGAAATAGGAAAACACGATCGCATTATATTGTAGAATATGAAACAGGCTTAAATCCATGTTGTTTTACTGCGTGATGCATAACGGCATCAAATTTTGACCACCAGACTTTGTAACATTTAATTATGAAAATTGAAGTTCATCCACTAACTCAAGATCCAACTACCGCATGGCAAGAACTAGCTAAGCAGCAAAAATTCATAAAAATAAATGCAAAAATCCCGACCACACCCGCATCAAAAGATAAGGTATTAAAATCCTTGTATTGTTGCTGATATGGAACATTTATTACAAAGTATACATAGTTTAATGGAAACGGTTGAATACTGATTTATAATCCACGTTATTCGTTTTTCATAGCTCCGAATAGTTTGTATGAGTGATACTCATTCTTTAACACAATACATAAAATTTAACATTCCTGATGGGGATGTCTTCATACATGCTGGAGATTTCACTAAACGTGGAAGACTTCAAGAAGTGATTGATTTTAATCAATGGATTGGTAAATCCATAGGTTTTCTATTTCGTTATAATAGATATGAAATAAAGAAAAAAATAAAAAACTAGTTCTTTGCAGATAACTTACCGCACAAGCATAAAATAGTTATTGCAGGAAATCATGAACTGAGTTTTGACCCTATATTTACACATGCTGTCAATTGTCAGACTAGTGAAACAATTAGCAGCAGTAATGTAAAAGATGTATTGACTAATTGTACTTATCTTGAAGATTCAGAAATTGTCATTTGTGGTATTAAAATTTATGGTTCACCATGGTATATATTTTATTATTGCTTAATTACAAAATTTAAAAATAGGTTGAAATATATAAATATAATTATTCAGATTTTTCAGAATCAATATAGTGCAGTTAATTTATATCTTTAAAAATTATAGGCAACCAAAATTTTACAATTGGGCTTTTAATCTACTTCGAGGAGAAGAATTGTTATCTAAATGGAATAAGATCCCAGATGATACAGATATTTTAGTTACACATAGTCCTCCAGTAGGCCATGGTGATCTTTGCTACCGTGGAGTTAGAGCTGGATGTGTTGAATTATTAACTACTGTGCAGAATCGAGTGAAACCAAAATATCACATTTTTGGGCACATTCATGAAGGTAAAATAATGTTTCTAATTAGTCTTTCATATAAAAATTTGTTTATATTATATTTTATTATCTAAATTTATTTTTAGGATATGGTATCTCTTCAGATGGTGAAATAATATTTATCAATGCTTCAACATGTGATTTAAACTATCAACCAAGCAATCTACCTATAGTTTTTGATATAACTTTGCCACCAGGCATAGAAAAAGATTAATCTCTACACAATTAGATATTTAATATTTTACCAGCATTTTTAAGAAAAATTTGTTGTACTTTAGAAACAACTTTGTTATCAGTGAGAGAAACAAGTATTTCAATTATGCTGAAAGCTCAGACTAAATAATGCCATAACAGGTTAAAATGTAAATTGACAAATTAATATCTATATAATTACTTTAACTTTTTAGTTTAAAATTAGATTAGTTATTTAAAATAACATTGCAAGTCACATATATTTTTTGTTTTCACCTAAATTTAATTCCATTTAATTTTTTAAAACTCAATTTGAACTTTTTCTCTTGTTTCCATTTGTACTTGCAGAATACATATTCTTCATGATGCATTATTTGGCAGTAAAAGGTACAAAATAGAAAGACTAAAAATGCTTTATTGATCATACACGAAAGTCAGCATTGCAAAAAAATTTTAATTTAAATATTTCGTCCTTTTCAAAACTTGAAGAATATCTTTTCATTTGTATAACAATTTTTACATTTTAAATTAAAAATTTCGCAACTGATATTTTGTAAATGTTCATTAGAAATGAATATTTGCATTGAATCCTTATTTTTATTATCATAAAATTATTTTTCTATTTAGTCATTTAAATTAAAAAATAGATTAAAAATATTGGAATTGTGTATATTTTAATAAAAGACATAATAGACTTACCTTTTATAATTTAAATATCCATGTTAAGTACTAGGATTTTGTAATAAAATATAAATGCATAGAAATTTTGTTTACTTCATTTTATAAAAAGAAATATTGTATAATAATTTCATTTACAGTCGATGTAGGGGTAATTTTATAACAAAATATTTACTATGTGATTTCACAATTGTAAAAAAAATTGAAAAATATTTTCAATATCTAAAAAGATATAATTCATTTTGTGAGTTGACTGCCTTTAAAATATTATACGATTTACCAATATTTTACAATAGTTTATAACTATATAGTTATCAATCAAACACTACTATAACAGGACGTGACCCTGTTAAGTAATAGGTTTTATAAACAAATCAATATTTAAAATGATCTTTTTAGTTTTTTCTTTCTATGAAAATTGGAGGTGTAAAAAGTTGATAATAATTCATATCAAAACATTTTGAAAATGATCAGAAATTATATTTTTCGTCAAAAACTGAAGTAAGAAAAGATTATGCCTGTTGCAAGTAACATTGCTAACTTAATATAAAACGTTCGTGCCTAATGATAAAATTATGACGACTCAGCTTATGATGTTTTATATATAATGGAGAAAAAGTTCGTACCACCAATTTGTATCATTTGTTAAATTAAATGCAAATAAAAACGAGCTTTCAGGCAGTTCAGTGCTTACGTAAGTGTTTGCTTCTCTTGATTATATTAGTAGAGCTTTTCAACACGTAAGTTTTTAACACTGTACAAACGTTAAACGAATAATGAATTTTCGTGAACTATGTTATCAATAAATTGAAGAAAATTTACATACACTTGTAATTTTTTACAGATGAGCATTGGCGGTACAATTTTTAACGAGTTTTCTCTTTTCATGTAATAATTTGTTTGAGCCGAGATTATTGGAGCAGAAAATGCCTCGTAACCTCATGAACAACAAAAAAGAAAAAAAATGAAACAAAAACTTCTATTGAGGTGTCATGAAGGTTTCGAAGATTTTTTGTTGTGACTTTCTAAACAGCGTCATTTTTCATAGAAATTAGTCACTCTGGCAAGTTGCTCTTTTCTATCTCACTCTTTTTTAAACTTCATCTGATATTAAACATAAATCACTAACGTACAATAAGATTGTTTTATGCGGTGCGTACGTAGCGAGGCGTACGATTTAATATGGTACATTTGAGAATAAATATGACACGGATTCGCCATTATGGGTCCGCCTGACTGCTTCAGCAAACATCATCGAAACGTCAATACACTGAAAGTAAAAGTATCGAATGATTTATATATAAACAATGCACTGCAAGGTGGGGAGGAAAGCTACATAAAACTAAAATTTACCTGTATCTTTGAACATTCCTTCATGTGTTTATCCTGAGGAATGGTATTGGTAACAACAACGGCTTCAAAACAAGCGTTGTTGATCCTGCTGATGGCTGGACCACTGAAGATGCCATGAGTCAAGATTGCATAAACTTTAGTAGCGCCGGCATCGACAAGCTTATTGGCGGCGTGAACGATCGTTCCACACGTGTCAGCCATGTCATCAACCAGGATAGCTACGCGATCCTTCACGTCTCCTACCAACACCATGCTTGCCACCTCATTGGCTTTTTTCCTCTCTTTGTGAATAAGAGCGAAGTCAACGTTCAATCGGTCAGCAATAGATGTTACTCTAAAGATCATACGTGGTACTTTAGTCATTCGTAAAAATATTCAGCAAAGTTACCGAGATCACTGAAATCTTAAAATAACCAAAGGGTAAAAACGAAAAAATCGAAACCCATGAAAAAATTATAAATAGTTCAAATTTGACGTGGAAGCTGGCATCTATAAGATTGCCACAAAAATTAATAAATGAAATCAAAATAAAAGAAAAACTAAAATGGTACCGTTTGGCGCCTCCAGCGTCAGGAGAGACGATGGTACTGTTTCTCCATTCAGTGATGTTTTCCTTGATCCACTTGAGAACAGCCGGTTCGGCAAACAGGTTGTCCACGGGAATGTCAAAGAAGCCCTGAATCTGACTGGCATGCAGATCCATGGTTATGATGTGATCGGCACCGGCGACAGACAGCATGTTCGCCACTAATTTGGCTGAAATGGGCGCTCGACTCTGAAAATCGACAACACAGTGTTTGTTAGATACGACAACGGGGGACTCTCGATAGTTATTATAAACTACACGAGTCCTTGAAGTCCATTTGCAACTGACATTTCCCTGTAATTTGAAAATCCTTTTGTTGTTAATCTCTTTTTTCCGAAAATTCAGATTTTATTTTTTACCAATTACATTCCTGCAGGCTCATTTGATTTTTCTCCTTACCGTGCAAACCGAATTTCTTGTTTGAGGGGACAAAATATAAATACAATGGCTTTGTACATGTCGAAGAAATTAATTTTTTTGTTTGATCAATTAGGCGTTCAACAAAAACAAACATTTAGTGGAAAAAAATGTTGCAAATGCACCTCCATTATATTCGACAGGACCTCAGCAAAGCAGTAAACCTATTTTTTTCACAAATTTCACAAGTACAGTACATTTTTCGGCGGCTTATCGAGTTGACGAATCATGCAATCTTGCCGAGTTCAAATATTACTGTTTCTTATAATGTGCTTTACTTTTTTCACTTTAGCTAGAAGGAATTTAATTAATTTATGCTTATAATTCAGCGACACGAGGTGAGCTGCAACGTTGCAAAAAGCTGTGTTATGTTAATAGTATTTCTATATTAGAGTATGAGTATGCCCTAGCGAAAAGCTATTGAAAAGATACATTGGAAAGTCAAAACTCATCAGTCGCTTATTCCTAAGCATTGCTCTGCTAGTGAATAAAGTAAAAGCTTGCCCGTGTTAGTTGTATGTTTCGCTAGAGAAAAATTATGTACAATTGTGTGGAACACTTTTTTCTTCATTACATAAAGATGCTCATTAAAAAACTGTGCTAAATTCCTTACTTGTTTTTTAATCGCATCACCTTCTTATACAATTCTACACCTTCAGTTTACCTCACGACTATGCACATGCGTATCATATTCTGGTTTTTGTTTTACATAATTTTTCCCTAAATTTAATAGTTTGTTTTGTTATTTTAGTTAGTAGTTTTGTGAGACGAACACACTTAAGAATGTAATATACCCCACATGAAAACAAAATAAATATTATAGGACATTGCTATTATATTGATATTTTGCCCTCTCATATAGACATAGGTCAATGTGTTTGTCAAATATTTCGCATTTATTTCATGAGGGTGTAGACACCATAATCAACAATATATAGCAAATGGGATTGAATAAATAGTAATTTAGGAATGGCTTGTTAGTCCTATATCAAAAACAGCGAAATCAATTTTGTTTTAATCATCATAATTAACAACTAAACGTATTGAAAGGTAAAGTTTATTAAAAATCATTTGCAAATCTAAATTGGCCATGAAGTAAAAATCGTCAGAATGAAAAACGCTTCACTCGAAAAATCTCGCTTCTTGCTGCTAATTTTTGGCGTTTCTTTTTAATACTCACTGTTGACAGGTCGGGCACAAAGTCCTGAAAACACCCAACTATTCAGAACTTTGTTGAACAATTTGTTTTTATACATAGAATAAATTGGGATTCATAAACATTACTAATCAGCTAAATTACCTTGTATTTCATGATAATTATAATTTAAGAAATGTATTTCTATCTATAAGCTTGTAATTAAAAAATTAGTTCTTTATTGAATATTTTTGCGCAAATCTATTTGAATTTATCATTTAACCGCCAGTTTTCTTTTTCATGATTTTATTTTTTAACGTGAATCCCCGAAAATTATAGCATGCAATGTAATAATGTTCCGATAAATATTTCTTGTGCATCTTACAAGAAGAGTGTCATTTGCACGGACCGTCTGTAACTTTTGGGAGTATTTTCATAAACAAAAATATGTAAGAACCGCGTTTATTAATTCTGACTCTTAATATTTCTATAGTTACTGGCTATTTTTGTTCAATTTAACAAAATGATGTAGGTGAAAATAGCGTGTAACTATGAAAATATTGAGCTTTAGAATGAATGAACGTGGTCTTTCACATACTTTCACGTATTTAGATTTCCTAAAGTTATAGGCAACTCAACGACCCGCACGTGACACTCCTCTTGTTAGTGATATATGAAACAGTCTTGTGTCTGTGGCGAGATAATATTGCAAATGCTCGAGGTATCCCACGCGATCGCCATCATGCACTGCTTTTGCAATAAACAGTATGGGTTATCCATTTACTGATAACCTTCACGTCAGTATAAGGCAACACAGCCTAGAACTTGTAATAGTGACAATATTGAATTGATTAATGATAAATAATGTTATTAATGGGATTTCAATAGAATTTTATAGGGATCAATAACTATTAGATTTTACTTATTGCCAAATTGCTGTAAAATACAATTAATTTTAAAAAGATATTAAATTTAATTTCATTTTATGAAGAAACATATTTTCAAAAAATTCTATTGATGCTCATAATGATGAACAATGTACACCATACTCCCCTATTTTTCAATACAGTAATTCCTATAAACCAAGCTAATCATAAATGAAAAAAGAGCAGAAAAAAGGAGCGCCACAAGTTACCCTGAATTTCCACTCGTTCGACTTCATGACAAACTGACTCTTATTAGTTGAGTCTTGCTTGTCCCCACCATCACCTCCCTGTGAAGTCATCAATGATAGAGAATTTAAACAGCACAACAGAATGCTTCTTATAGTAGTCACATTGCTTCAGATGTTAAACAAGAATCTTATCAACATACAGATATTGGTTTAATTATATTTGACATGTTAAGAATCCTCTTGTATAAAGCTATATTTAAATATATTAACAATTGCTGAAAAGAAAAAGTCATATATTAAAAGCCTAACATTACATGAACAAAATAGAAGAATGCATTATATACGTAAGACATTGATGAATATTAGTTTATTAAATTTTAAACATGTCTTTGAATTGCTTAACAACATATGTTACTTGTAATTATATAATAGTACTAGTGCATATTGCAAAAGTTGAGCAAGAGACTATCGGTGTACTCAAATTCAGTTAAAAATAGAATATGTGTACACCTCGACATTCACATTGAAAGCAGGTGATTTAGAGAGGCAATGTAGTTTGATCTTCGAATTTATAGTAATAAAAGTTAATAATAGAAAGATTTTGTTTATTGAGATAGTTATCTACTGAAATATTTTTTGATTTCGTACATCTATGTCTAGTATAACAATACTATACACATGAAAATACTGGTTGATAATTTTATAATTTTCTTTTCATTTTGTGATGATTGAGTGTTCGCTATCTTCTATGTCATTCTCATTCTTAAAAAAAATTCTTAAAATATTTTTTCAAGAGCTTCAAATTGTTAAAGACTACATAAAAATGAAAAATTACATTTGAAAAACAGTTTAGTTGGAAAAAAAACAAGAGCTTAAATAGGAACTAAGTGAATCTGTTATTAAATAGTTCATACCTTATCCTTCTTGTCTTGTCGAGCATATGGAAAGCAGGGAATGACAGCAGTTACTCGAGATGCAGACGCAATTTTGCAAGCATTAATCATGATCAACAATTCCATCAGGTTGTCATTGACCTCTCCACTGCCACTCTGTATAATATAGACATCTTCTCCTCGTACGGATTCGCCAATTTCCACACTGTTTTTTTATTATATTATAATTATAAAAATATAGCTATAAGTCTATTTATTGTCATCAATTTAATATTTGACAAAAAATCATTAATATAACTAATCAAAATGGTAAAATATATCTTTTTGTTAACTTTTTAATTTTTTTTAGTTTTTAAAAAACTGTTGGTAGATAACATATAATATAATTGTTACAACATAGTTGATTTGAAACAGATATGTTTGTTTCATAGTTTTTCATTATATCTTTCTAGATAAGTTCATTCCATGCTCAATAAAAAAACCATTGAACACTGGAATACAAATTAATTTATACTCTATAATATAAAAAATCATAATTTAAATGTCAATAAGTACATAATTATATTAAACTAAAATTATCATAACGAATTATTTAAACATAAATATCAATATGGTATATAATTTTGGAAATTGTTGAGTAAATAGATTACTGTGAAATTATAAATCGCGTAAATTTACTAATCACATAAAAATACTAGCCAGCTAGGAAAAATTGATGCAAACACGTGACTACTAATAAACGTGTATCTGGAATAATTGTACGACGTACGTATTTAACATATAATTTTTGTCGAGAAATAAATTATGTTTTGAGTGTGAATCTGCAAAGAATACGAGGGATATTTTATAAACGAATGAATAACGAATATTATTTTAATAGATTCCAAAGTTGGTCATTTTTATAAATCCTGAGTCAACTGAACTTGTCACCTGACAATTATTTAATTATTTATTATTAATTTTGACCTCGCATTCATCTTGTAGATAGTAATAGATAGATGGGACACGTAATACACACGCAGAAGGAAATGCACGCGACAGCGCAATACTTAATTTGTATTTAAAAAAACAGTATTAATGAGAGTACTACAATTATTGTTATTGAACGTACGTTAAATGTTTATGTTAATGGCGTTGCTTAGAGTGGTGTTTAATAAAGAAGGAAGAGAAGCGCCTTTTTTAAATAATCGAGAGTAAAACAGGTGGAATAAAATTCAGCGACGAAATAAATCAGACTCGAGTCGGACAAACGCAGGTTGTGGCCGAGCGGCAACGGCTTGGCGCGCTCGAGCACGTGGTCGTGCAAATATTGACAGAAATAAATATATGTCTCATGGTTGTAATCGATTATTCTACCATGCGAGGTTGGAGTATGTCGCTCGATTGCGACGAAAAAGAAGGTAGACGTGCCATAAAGTTAATAAACAATAAAAGAAAATTAAAAATATAATAAAAGACAAACGGCCAGTGTAAGGGAAGCATTAGAAGAAGCATAGGAGAAGAGGAAGTGAAGAGGGAGCAAGAGGTACGTAGAGAGGGAGAGAGATAGATATTTGTATAAATGTAGTTACCATGTCTCGAGGTTACTGAATTTCTTGGTGACGACCTTGCCGATATCGATGCCGAGCCTGTCCACGATGCGTTGCGCCAGGTCCGGATGCGAGGTGCCGCTGAAGACCTTAATGTTGGGCATTCTGCTTTGTAAGTAGCCACTGGTGCGAGGCTTCTCCAAGTTTGCGCGTAACAAACTCTTGGCACGCACTGGCTGCGAGACGGGCATCACTGGCTCCCCGACACACACATAGAGGAGGAGAGCCGATCGACGTCGTCAGCAGCCGAACGAGAGAGAAAGAGAGGGAGAGATACCGAGAACAGAGTAGACAGAGATAGAGATAGCAAAACAACGAGGGATTGAAGCAGCCGCACGCGAGCACGCGAGAGCCGCCGTAGCCACCAATTCGATGGTTTGATGGCATAGCCACTACGAGCGCTACTCTCGCAGCTTGCTCTTTCTCTCTTTCTCTCTCTCGTGCGACGTCACATTTGGCAAAAATCGCAAGCGGTTACATCGGGTCAGACTTCGAAACACCTTTAGGATCGACCAATCTCTAACCATCCAGTTTGCTCGGCAACGGATGTGACGCACCGACACTCGCTCCGCCTTTTCTTACCCCTTCCCCAACGTGCTCTCGCGCCAATTTTTATCATCGCAGCGTCATACCATTACTCTGGGTATCTTGTTAAATTTTTTTTAATGTAATGGCTAATATGAGGTTTTCCTATCCCTTAAAACCTATATCTATGCTTTTGGCGACATAGCTGCAGCTGATAAAGTACTTCTCTTCGGATACCGTTTTTATGTTGTTCACGACGACGTTACCTTCGAATTGCGAACCTCCTACACACGCCAGTCGCCATTTTTATAAAACCTTATTCAAATTTCCTACACATGCTTTGCTTAGCAAAACTAAGTTATACGACTATTCGAACGATAACGCGCTGATTGTTGAAATCCGAACCTGAATTCGCCAGCTGGCATTTTGGAATATGCTTACAATCGAATTTCGATGAATGTTTTCAAGTTTTCAATATTAAAATTGAATGGCTACTAAATATACTAGCGTAATATCTTGCCGTGCAGGGGGTTTGTCGAATCTCGTCACTGATTTTAAGCGCAGATGACATTGTACTGCAGTAGTTTGTTTATCGGTCCCTCTTGCGATATGTTACTCGGGAGAAAAAAAAAGTCGGCCTGCGCCTTTCCGCGAAGATTTGAGAGGCTTGAACGCGACCACCTCGAAGCATATTGGTTCAATCGATATCACAGCTTTTTATTATCAATAGACGAAAATGAAATATGCTTGTTTCTCCTGCTTCGATTGATTGCGCTGCATTGTCTGCCGTTCGTCTCGCATCGCCAATATGATTGTAACGATTGACTCTGTATACGAGAAATAAGATCAACTTGAAACGTACTTATTCGAAGCGTTCTATGTTTTTTCACATAATTTATTCAAGTTTTCTTCCACGCCGGTCTGTTTGACGATAATATACTTGTCAGCCTCACGCACGACATTATCTCACGTACGTATCTTAGGCTCTGATAAAACTTACGTCACTTTGTGTTCACGGCGTGTCTAATGGAATTTTTCATAACACGAAATTTAAGGGTTTATTGGGCCATAAATCACTCATCCGCTATATCACATTCATACTTTTTACCACTTATCTTTAAGTTAACGTTTTTATTCGCGTATTTGATCAAACTCGATGTAAAGCAATAACAATAGTGTTGTCATTTGTTGCGCTGTTTCAACTTCACGTGCAAAATTTGTCGATGCGTCAAATTGGCTACGGGCTTCATGCCGCAAAATTTGTGTTACTGACTCATGCTATACCAGACAGCTCGACGTCTCTTTGTCTCTGTTATCATATTTTAGAAAATCATTAGCATCAAACTTTTTCTAACGAACAAAGACTTCTCAGAGCATCCCAACGTAACCTTAAAATAGTATTCTTTATCAATATTTATTATATCAGAGCTTCTTTTAATATTCTGCAAGGTTTACCAAATAATGAGGCTTCCAAACGTGATCGCTGTTACAATAAAAAGCTCATCAAGTTTCGCACAGATAATTTTTTTTGGCTGATATTCAATGAAAACGGAAATTTTTTTTAGTACAATTCACACGACAAAACAATTATTTTGAGTTGAAGAGGGATTGTTCTGACAATCAAACATGTGCATCAGAATAGCTCTCCATATGACTAGGTATATCCAACGATAAGTTGACCGTCGTTACGGCTGATATCATTGTTTGCAAAATGATATAAGAAATCAAGAATGTATATGCTAATAGATTTTTTAGAATTTCCGAATGGTTATAAGATTTCTACCTACTCAAATCTAATCACGACATATCCCTGTTACTCCGTTTTTTACTAATGTTATTGTAGTAGAAAACGGTGTCTCGAAATAAAGATGAAGTTTCCATCCGCTAACTTTAAATTTAGGTAGCTAATCGATTTTTGTGAAATGTTCACTTTATGGCAAAAGAATAAAAAGTGAGTTATAAAATTTCCAAGTCAAAATCAATTGAAAAGCAATGATATGGCCAACAAAAAAATGTTCGCTTGAGCGACTTTGCAAAATTCGAAAGCTTTAAATGATTTGTAAACGATCCTAAAGTCATATTGAACGTGGATCATTAAGTAAAAAAAGGTAAAAGCACGAGGAAGAGGAAGATAGGCAACGGAGCGTGCGCGCGAGGTTGAAAAGACGCGCAAACTACGCAAAGCGCGAATAGTGGATTAGTGGCTGACTGTCAACTATTTGTCTGTCGTTTTTCTCGAAAAACGCTCGTTTACACTTTTAGCCCGGCGGACAAAAGACTTGGTTCTATTTAAATTACACGTTACACTTGAACAGTCGGACAATAGTCGCTGACCAGCTGTACGTACCAGTGTGAATTGTTTTTTCGAAGCGCTTCATTGATCTCTTACGTGTAATTGTACCGTTTTTGAAACACGTTAAGCTTTGGAGAGTGAAAGTCATTCAAGCCTGACTTTACTCTGAAGTCGGAATAGTCGACGAAGTAAAAAAACTCAAGTTTTGTAGAGTAGTAACGACGAGAGCGCAAGTTTGCGCTAGTATCGTGCACGCGCCTGTTCTACACGCTTGCATCTACACACGTATGAACGCGCTCGCACATATTCACGCACACATTGGCCTACTACCATACCAAGTTTCTACTTCGCCTGTGTCTGCAAAAGAAGCAACGTGTTGATTTGAATCGACTGGTTCGTGTCGTGCCACATAACTTTCTCATCACGAACTAATCTAAAAATCCTTCGTGTGGTAACATTTGATTTCTAGAGAAGTGCCAGCAACAGAGCCAGGTTCAATATCGTGCGTGTATGTGTGCAGACGAGGAGATCAGGACAATGACAGACTGCTACTGACTAGCCTTATTCTCATTGTTTTCCTTTGATCATCGTCGTTTCGTTATAGTTGTGCAGTCGACATAGTTAATCAGAAAGATTTTCGCCATTGGCCATTCAAATTGATCGACGAATAGAGACTAGTTTTTAGGCAGCGAGTCATGGCGACGAACATCGCGGCCCAGCGGATCAAGCGAGAATTTAAAGAGGTTATAAAGAGCGAGGAGGTAAGTTATATGATGAATACGGATAACGAACAACGTACAATGTATCCCTCGTTTGACCACCTCTAAGTAGTCTCCACTTTTGTTCTTTTCGAGTTCAAAGCAACACCCTTAATGTTATTATTCTTAATACACATTATCGCTGGCTTGTATCACATGTGTGTTTTAACTCAACTACTTTTATTGCATAATCCCTTATACCTATGTCCACGAGTTGGAAAATATAAAACCATGCGTTATCATAATAGTTTATGAAATCATTGACCTCGAAAAAATCTAGCTATATTCATTAAGCTTTTCGGCTTTATTTCTTTGCATTTCCAACTTTGAATTTTCAATATTAAGAGTTGTTTTCGTTCATTCTTTTAAAATTTATGATTTATATTCTACTTTTGTCTCATACTTTTATATTTTTATTGCGTGTTTTATTCTTCATTTTTATTCATTTACATATTTTGACATATTTTTCACTATTTTCTTTAATATACTGGTTGTTTTTGATTCAATGTATTACCAACATAACTCTATGGATAAAGTTATTCTAGTCCAATGTTATTAAAAAATTTATATTTTTTGCAAAGGTCCAATGAAAATTCTTTTAATTAAGCTACGTTATTCTAATCTCATAACAGACATAAATTATATTTTATTAATAAATTTTTCATTATAATTACTTTTTATCGCACTATAGAAATAAACAAAAAAGTCATTACTTTTACTATGACTTCGATGTACAATCTAAATAAATCTTAAATGTTGTAACTTTTTGTGTTTCTTATTAAACCTTAAAAATATTTTTTCTGTAACTAAAACATGCTTACCCTTTTTTCTATCCATTATTTATATTAATTCTTGTAACTTCTCTTGAGATTGTTCAATCTTTGCAGAGGGTTTGAACTCACTCCTAGTCTGTTCTTCACGTAAAATACTACCACATTAATTACAAAACAGTAGGGGTATCTTAATATGATGCAAATATTTTATCAACAGAAGAAGTTTCTTCCAGTTAGTTCTAGACAAGAAGTGTCAAAGGTCACATTGCTATCAGTTTATACAATGAAATATGATTTTTCTTTATTTGTTCGATTAAAATTAAATATTTATCACATTATATTTATTAAGTGATACATAAAAATAAACTATAAAAACAAGTAGTTATCATTTATTCATAATAATTTTTATAAAGTCAAAATTATTAATTTTATAATACGTTAATAATATTTTTCTAAATATAATTACATCTTTTAGGTTGCACAATGTTCAATAAAAGTTGAATTGGTAAATGACAGTTGTGTTGAGCTGAAAGGTGAAATTGCTGGACCACCTGATACACCATATGAAGGAGGAAACTTTATACTCGAAATCAAAATTCCAGAGACTTATCCATTTAATCCACCAAAAGTAAGATAGAAAGTGATGAATTTATTGATACTACCAATAATTACTTTGGAAAAAGTAACGTTATGTTAATATTTTAGGTTCGTTTTATAACAAAAATATGGCATCCAAATATATCCTCAGTTACAGGAGCAATTTGCTTAGATATATTAAAGGACCAATGGTATTTTTAAATTTATTAAATTTGATTAATCCTTAAAAATATATTATAACTGCATTTAATCACATTATTTTCAGGGCAGCAGCTATGACTTTAAGAACTGTTTTATTATCTCTACAAGCTCTACTGTCAGCAGCTGAACCAGATGATCCACAAGATGCAGTGGTAGCAAAACAGTACAAAGATCAGCCAGAAATGTTTCGTCAAACTGCTAAACATTGGACATCTGTTTATGCTGGAGGTAAGCTTTCAATAAAATTTTTTGTTTACTTATTAATAATCGATTCTATAAAATTTTTCATAAATAATTGCACCAAGCAAAATTGAATAAATAAACGTGCCAATGAAACATTGTTCTAGGAAACTTTATTTATTCTAATTGAAGTTCAAAAAAGACATAAGTTAATTAAAAGTATGATGTTTATCTTTATACAGGACCATGTAAAATGCCAGAGTTGGATGAAAAAATTAGGCGTTTGACAGACATGGGTATAGAAGAACACAATGCACGAGTAGCATTGTCCTCTTACAATTGGGATTTAGAACGTGCCACAGAACAACTTTTTAGTTAGTGACGACTTAAAAGCAATTGTTGTATATTTATACATCATCCATTTCATATTTTGAAATGTTTTACGAACAACTATACCATTAAATTTTTTTCGGCATAGCAAATTTTGACAGATAACATGCATTTGCTATGGTAATATTCCAATGAAATATTTTTGGGTGAGCATAAGTCCTATTGATAATTGTTTATTTATTTTGTAAAATAGGTATGAAAAAAATGAAGAAACAGTAAAATAATAGAAATATTCATGAAGAAATTTTGGGTCGGTGTACTTTAAGAACAGTTAATTAAAATATGAGCAGATCATTTTTTGATGTTTTCTGCTCAGAGTTGTATAGAAAAAGTTTACAGGAAATGCTTCTTCTTAAAAGCAACTTTTGTGAGCTTTAATTGTTTTCCTTTTATATCATACAGTGTAACTTTGTATATGTGATATTGATTTAGTTGCTGGGCCATCTGGCCAATCTGTTTTGAAAAAAAATATTTATAATAAAATCTACCGCTATGATTTATAAATTATCATTTTTTTTTCTTTTTTCATCAAAAATTATTTTCCAAAATAGACTATATCTTTGAATACTATTTTAATTTTACTAATAATTTGATTATTAATATTCTTAAATTTTTTGTATTATAATTTGTAAACCACTATTATTAAAAGAAATGGTGGGAAAATATTTTTTTCGTTTTAATGCTTCATGTAAACGTTAAATAATTTTGTTATTCCAATGAATGAATTCATTAATATAACAAACTAGATCAACTGTAGAATTATATAAAGTGCACGCCTCAGCGTAATATATAGTAATATATTTTGCATATTTTTGGATGTTCAACAAATGGAATTGTTTTTAATATGTAATTTGTTCATAAGGAATTTGGGGTAGAAAAGAGCAATAAAGTGTACCTCGTTGTTTAAATGAGTGGTTTACATTCCAAATACAAAAGTAATGTTGTATTTATTGCTCTTATCGCCAAATTATCAAATATAGACTAACAATCCGGTATTTTTAAATATTTTATAATATTGCAAAGTAAAGTGCTGAAATTTCTGAAATGGCAAATATATTTGAAAATAACCTTGCCAATTGTTTTAAAGCATATATAATTTTGTAATAATAATTTATAATAAACTACTCCTTTTTTATTTATTCTAAAATATTTCCATTTTGTAATATTTATTTTTCAAAACTTGATATGTTCAAGTAAAAACCAATCAGTCAAGAAAAATAAATTACTTGCAAATAGAATTATTTTATCAGTTTTTTTATTTGTTATCATTATTAGTATAAAATGTATTACTTACTTAAATTACCGAATATTACAAATTTTTATGAAAAATTTACTCAGCTTTATTCTTAAAAGTATTACTTTCAGTCTTTGTCTTATTAATTTGTTTACATTTTTAATTTATTCTGAAAAAATTGGCTCTACATTTTTACAGCACTCGCACTTCCGAAAAAATAAATTATCCTTACTTATTGTTTAATAGAAAAATTTAATTTATCATTTACAAACATACAATCGCGTCTTAATGAAAAAAACTATAAGAATTTATATACATATCTTCAGTCAAAAGAAAATATAAACATAGTCTCTGATGGCTCAGCCATAAATATAAACCAGTTTGCAATTTTATCATCGAAAATTTCAAGTATGACAAAATAGTTGAAGTTTATTCCTGGTAAGTACAGCTTGATACACATCACTTCCAGTTTCAAAGGCGCAAACATCAAGTACGGACTCAGAGGATGGTATTGAAATTGTATAAGCTTGCTGCCCTGAGGAAATACTCCAAGCCATAATAAGATTTTCACTTTCATTGCTGGCAACTACCATTGTATCATTTTGTAAGTTCATGTAACAAGGTCTTGCTAAGTATTTCTGGCAATTGCCAGCAGTAAATGTATGCACTTGGTTGAACAATATTTTGTCATTACTTTTTGCTATTGAACATACTATGTGACGTGTTGGATGTTTAAGAGTAGGTTTACATGAAAGTAGTACATGATTGTCTCTTTCGTTGTATCGCAATGATGCAAAAGGTCCTTCAATGTCAATTTTATATCCAACATGGCTCCCCTCTTTAAAACAATAAGCATAACATGAATTAAATTGACACGCCAAGTAACCACCAGCAGAAAAAGCTGGACTGCTACTAGGAACAGATGCGATAGATACAACAGGAGTTCTACAATGAGAATAGTTTTCATAAATTTTAATCTAACAATTTTATTATAATAATTTAACTAATTATCTTACTTGTCTTCAGCATTTTCTCTGGTTGCCACTCCACATCTCAAGTTTCTGATATCATATTCAATTACAATGCCTTTATTACCTCCAGCAAAAAAATTATAACTACTGTAATTACTCCAGCAACAACTCCAAAGATTCTCATGTTCTGCAAAACTATGAACTAAAATATGGGTCCTTATATCACTCAACATGACTTTTTTATCAAACCCAACAGTTAAGAGATAATTTTGATGTTGCTCTTGGAAGGCTATGTCTCTTATTGGCCCTTTATGGAGAGGTGTCTTTGAGGTGATTACAAGTGAACTCATGCATATTTTATTAACCATGTTTCCTGCACAGACTACCAAATTCTTGTACCATGGATTATAAGCCATGACTCTGCATGAATCACTCTTGCATATATCAAAAACTTTTCTCTCTTGGAGAGTATTATTTTTATATTGTATTAAAAAACTACTTTTAGTGGATGTTAAATGTTCTACTTGTTTTCTCAAATCACTAATTGTTAGTTTTAAATTATTTATCTGCTGCTTATAAACCACTTCCTTGGATTCAAATTGTACGACTTGTTTCTGGAAGGTCTCTTTTTGAGTAATAGCATCTTTCAATTGCATTTTTAATTCTTCAATTTCACTTGTGTCAACGCAACGCAGACTTTTCGCATATAAAACTCTAATGTCTTTCTTTGAAGCTTTTGTGTTACATTCTGGACATTTCCGAGCACAAGCATTTTGTGCGACACTAAACCATTGTGTTATGCATTTAAGTCCAAAAAGATGTCCACAGCGTAAAGAGCACAGCCTATGCTCACCAGCATTGCTCCAAACTTCCAAACATATTGGACATCTTTGATCTTCGTCAGAGGAATCGTTATGAAGTATTCCAGGTTGGTTTTCAACTGTTTCATCAAGCTTAATTTTCTTTTGAGCTGTAATAATGATGGCATTTAAGAAAACCTAAACAAACATAAAAATATAAAATAAAAATAAGCATACATTGAACAATTTCTTCATTAGATTGCTCTTCATTTTCTACTTCTGTTTCTGTGCCAGACTGACTTGCTCGTAGTTGATCTTCACCTGTGACTACAGTGCTTGCATCGCTCATAGCATCACTAGACGAATCGTCATCTTCTTCCAACACGTCTTCGTTGACTTCGACATTCTCATCGAAATCTTGGTCTGGAATTTCGTACATAGAAGAACTGTCGCTGCTGTCACTGAAATTATCATCACTCATACTGTTTGTTTCGGCGGTTAACCTACGATACAACTCGCTCAAGTAACTGTTGTCATAAATATCGAACAAACTGAAACTGCTGTCACTGTAATCTGTAAAGTTATTAATAAGCAGGTTAGTCGCTGTTCACTATGCATAAGTAAACACACGCTTACTTAGAATATGAATAAACACAATTAATAAACAAACCTACCATCATCATCTTCCATTATGTTAAATGAAGCATTAGAAGATGAGCAGGAGCAGCAGATGACCAGAGCAGCCAATGTACAGCAATGTACCTGTGGCAGTTCAATTGAGCGTTAAGCGATTAAAGTAGGCTCAGTCTTGCCCACTGGATGTCGCGTTGAGTCCAATGTTTGGTAATCACATATGTGCACATATATAGTAACATATCACTGTTGGCGTGATACAAGTAGCGTTAAAAATAGACATTGCGGACTTTCGGGCCTTATTACATATTGCGGATGATAACTGAAAGCAGAATGCCTTAAATATATTATTTCATTATTGAAATGTCTAATTGTATAAAAACATATAAAAACATACATTATTTGAAAAAATTTTTAGAACGTATATTATAATTTTGGCCGGCCAAGTCGGTGATTAACTTACTCATGATGTTTTCATCAGATTATTTATAATTATTGACAAAAACATAATATTATTGTATTTAAATCTATTATATGAATTTATATTGATCTTCGAAACATTATTTTGTACGTTTCATAACATATCATTTTGTATAAGACCAAAAATAAAAGTATTTATGCATCATTGTTATAATTGCCTTAAAATTTCCTATAATGTTTATATATATGTGTGTGTGTGTGTGTGAGTGTAGATAAATCAGCGCTAAAGGTGTAGCTAAGATTATCACGTATTTTTTTAGAAGCTTTCCAAGTAAAAGTTGAAAAATGTAACGTTTTACCTCATTTCTAAATAATCGTCAAAGTTGGATATTTTTAGATGATTGTATTAATAAATCGGATTCGTCACATGTATTTGTAGAACAAAAAATCGACGTGAAAGTTTAAAGATGCCGCCAATGCAGTAGTGCCGATGCTTTTCATTCTGGCACATATATAGTTGTTTTGGTAATAGAATCAAATAAAAATCACTACAAACGAAACAATACGTTTATCAATATTTCAAGTTACATTTACTCCGATTGATATGTTTATAAATTAATTTATAAAAATATTGGAGTAGTAATATAGTCAAAATTGAAACACTGCCTGTAGGTGAATTGGAGGTTATAGCATTGTCATGTCGTGCCGTTGGCAACTCTGCGTCAAAAAGAGCGCTGTTCAGAAAAAATAGAAATAAATATGGCGAAGTAATTACTGCACATGTGTCGGTGCTCAGCTACGATAAGCTCCTTTTCGTCAAATAGTCTTTGCCGTAGTCATTCTACGCGTGATAGTTTGAGGTTTCGATTAGCTTATAAAATATTAATTTGAGTGACAATCGATGCTGATATGTGATACAATAACAGAGTGCCGAAGACGTAATCAACACCATCTTTGTCCTCGTCGCAGTCGTCGTCGTCGTCGTCGTCGTCGTCTTCGTCGTCGTCGTCGTCGTAAGTCTAGGAACTCTTGAACTATGCGAACGCAAGTTGAAGAGAGATATAGTAGAGAAAATCTAGAAATAATGCATGCACGTATCTACCTATAGCTGCTCTTGTACCAACGAACGTCTACTTAGATTGCGCTCTTAGTTATTACGACTTGACTCTTCTTTTTCTTGTCTCGCGTTTTTTTTCTTTAGTGCCGGTGTAAAATGTAGTTTCTTTTATAACACGATCTGTTTATGTACATGCTTTCTTCGGAGACACACCTTTTCATTTTTTACACTTTAGCTAATAAAAATCCTAATAACCAGTTAGTAAATAAAAAAATTATATAAATACGTCAGTTAAAAATCAAATAAAGATGCTTTACGTTTTATTAATCCAAGAATTGTTATTTATATAAAATTAAAAAATAACATACAAAGTGTTACTATGACTGTTGTCAATGAAATATTAAATAAATATAATTTGTGAACAAAATTGTAAAAGTCATAAAATAATGTTAATGAATTGTATTTAAGAAAATTAATTTCTATAAAACAGTTTGAGAATAGAGGAAGGGGTGATTGCAACGCAGAGAGCTACTTTCCAAGTCTTGGTTTAGAATGTCTAATTATAGCTGCAGGCTCCACGTAGTATCATACCATGTTGAACAGCATCCTGCTTTATTACGTAGATCTCTCATTTTCTTCCTTTATTATGTCTTTCAGCTTAGAAGTATTTACTTGTTTATATATTTTTAATAATGATTCATTCAATTATCAAATATAACATTTATTTACCATTAGATCAACATCTATTGAAACCTATTAGTTTATGTACAAAAGTATAGTTTAAATTAACAAATAATCAGAAAATATTATAAATTACCTGGCATATAAAGATTTTCTGTTTTAAATAAATTATGTTTATTTTATGATTCATATCTCTATAATACATTTTTCAGACAATGGTTCGAAGAAATCCTTCACTTCCTTTTATCAAAATGCAATATTTATTGTATGAAATTTTACCATACAGGCACTTGAAACCTGTGCCATATAGCTTAGCCACTGATAGTCCTGGTTGTCTTGCCAAAAATTTGCTATCAAATATAGAAAGAAAAATTAAAGAAAGGCAGCATCATGGCAATTATATTCTAGACTATTTGGAATTAAAATTTTCTGCTGACAAAGATGTAAGTACATATTATATAATAAAATAAATTAGTAAATTTCATGGAATTATTTTTTAGCTTTGCAAAATGCAGTTGTTTATGAACAGTTTAAGCAAAATAAATTGTAATTTCAGAAAATCCGTATTGATCCACCCATTACTCGATTTACAAAACTAGATTTAAAAACAATTGCTGTGGATAACATTGATTGGGCGTATGCGGAAACTGTTTCAATTGAACTATTTTTGTACTTTAAATATGACAAAAATAGAGTTGATGGCTCTAATGATGAAACACCAGCCAGTCCAGTTTTCATTACAACAAATATACCCTACTCATCTAAGCAGAAGAATTTTGATACATCTCTCACAAAAGAAAGTAATTTAACAGATTTATCAGAACCTGTTATGGAAAAGGATTCAGAGAGTACCATGAAGAATTTATTGCCTAAAAAATCATTTTATATTGAAAAAGATGAAAAAGTTGAAAAAGATAAAAAAGCAGATACACTTTTGTATGATAATACTATAACTTTAGGAAGTAATGAAGATAAAAAAAATTTGTGCAATACTAATAGTATAGAAACAATAGAAAGTAGTAAGTTAAATTACTTGTATACTTACTGAATAGTAAGTCTAATAATACTATAATTTTTGATAAATGTTATTAAAAAAAAATTTTAGATCATGTTGGTCTGGTTAATCAAGCTATGACATGTTATCTCAATAGTCTTCTTCAAGCATTGTTTATGACTCCTGAATTTAGGAATGCTCTATACAATTGGGAATACAAAAATAATGAAAAAGATTCAGAAGCCAATAGTATTCCTTACCAATTACAAAAACTTTTCCTCAACTTACAGGTTTTAATTTAAATTTATTACACAAATATTATAATATAAATAATAACATAATTTGATTTTTATTTTATTTGATATTAAATTTAAACTCACAAAGAGTCTTAAAGGGAGTGTAAACGGAATGTTAAATAAATATACAAAAATTTTATATATTTTCGCGATTTCTGCAACATGGCGGCACTATTTGAAACAAATTGACCTGATCGACTTTGATTTATAAGCATTGTAATTGGAAATAAATGTTATAGATCAATTATATTTCTTAATTACGTTTAAATGTACATGTAGGTTCGTTATAATTAACGTATTAATGTTGATTTACATAAAGGTTTTCGGGACATCTTGGAAAAGTTTCATGAAACTTTTGTACATTTTTTCGGAGCGTTGACCGATTTTAGCGATACTCTTTATGGTTTTCATTGTTGAAGCTTATAAAGTTTCTAATTTATAGAGCTTTTTTCAACATCTTATTTAATATAATATAAAATATGTTTAGTTTGTCACAAATCTACGTAATCTTGATGTAATTTAAAAACCCTGAAACAGTTCTTTTTGGTTTTATATTATAAAATGAAGTATGCTATTTTTTTGTTCGATAGACTTCACATAAAGCAGCTGTAGAAACTACTTCACTGACTAAAAGTTTTGGTTGGGATGTATCTGATTCATGGCATCAGCATGATATCCAAGAATTGTGTAGAGTTATGTTTGATGCATTGGAACAAAAATTTAAAAATACAACACAAGCTGACCTTATCAATAGACTTTATGAAGGTAATATGATAATTAATTCATTTAATAAGAACAACATTATATAAAAAATGTGTTTGAAAAATTTACAGGAAAAATCAATGACTATGTTAAGTGCCTATCATGTAACACAGAGAAATCTAGAGAAGATACTTTTCTTGATATTCCTTTGCCTGTGAGACCTTTTGATAATAATGTAGCATATGGTAGTGTGGTGAGTGTAAAACTAATAATGAATTAATGAATTGAATGCAAAACTATATTATTACTTGTGCTCATTTTAACTTTAATTATCTTAAGGAAGAAGCATTGGAAGCTTTTGTAAAATATGAAACTTTAGAAGGAAGTAATCAATATTTTTGTGAAAAATGCGATAAAAAATCAGATGCTCACAAAGGATTGAAATTTACCAAATTCCCGTATATCCTTACATTGCAATTGAAACGTTTTGATTTCGATCATAACACTTACAATAGAATTAAATTAAATGATAAGTAAGTTTAACATATTTTTTATCAACAATAATTATTTAATTAAAGGCATTTTTACTTAATTTTTATGCATAAAAAATTAATCTATGCTAATGTAGACAATAGCAGTATCTTCCAAAAATAATTGATATTATGAAACATAAATTTTGTATTAAATTGCAGGGTTACATTTCCTGAAACATTGAATTTAAATTCATTCGTTGAATCAACCTCTAATCGAGAATCATCAAATTTCGAAGAAGAAATTGTTGAAAATAATACGAGTAATAAAAACGCTTTGGCAGATGTTAATAATGTAGATAAAAATTATATCTCGAATGATATGCTCATTTCAAATAGTAATCATTTGAATAACCATGAACAAGATGACAATGAAGGTTAGTAAACAAGTACTGTGAACTATTTAATCTTGAATTATTAATATTAAATATTAAACTTGTAAATGTAATATTGTAAAATTGTTGTAAAATATAATTTTAATTGAATTTTTTCCAGGTCTTACCTTGGAAAATGGTTTATCTTCATCTTGTAGCACTCATAACGAGAATATTGAAAAATTACGGAAAGAATACGCAGCTGCAAAGGGACCTTATATTTATGAACTCTTTTCAATAATGATACACAGTGGAAGTGCTAGTGGAGGGCATTATTATGCTTATATAAAAGATTTTAAAACTGATAAATGGTATTGCTTCAATGATCAAATTGTATCATCAGTATGTACCACATAAAAATTATTACTTGATTATTATTAGTGATGTATAAGTATTGCTCATTTTATTAAATCGTAGATTACCAAGGAAGAAATTCAGAAAACATATGGAGGTGGAACTAAAACGGTGTATTACAGTGGAGTTTATCGTAGTAGTACAAATGCATACATGCTTATGTACAGACAAATTGATCCTGAACGCAATACTAATCCCATGGAAACCAAAGACTTTCCCCCTCACATTAAGGTACATTAACTAATATTTTTTCGTATATCCTTTTTATTTTTCAAAGACTTTCGTTTAGCTAATTTACTGATAATTAATTCAATTATTAGAAACTTCTTGAAAAAATGAAGAACGAAGAAGAGCAAAGTTATATTGATGAACAGATACATAGTATGGAGCGTCGTTTTAAACAAACTATTCACTATCGTCAAGCGCAAGGCTGCGAGGTCGAAAAAACTGATATAACAATCAGTATGAGTTATACTTTGAATCAAGTGGTAGAGGCTGCTCGCAAAAAGTTTGATCTGGATTATAAGTTTGATAGTAGTCAATGTCGAATAGTTACCTATTTTCCTGAATATGATATTGTCGATAATACGTTTGATGGTAAAGAAGAATACAGATTGGATCAATTATTTTCTTCTCAGCACATGATAAAATCTTTGCTTTTGGATATACGTCCACAAAATGAAAAATTTCAGGATTATCCATCTGAACCAATTATCACTAAGGTATTTTAATATTTGTACTTTTCGACACTCCGTGCAGAAAGTGCGTTTTTCCCGCACGCTCGGCAAAAAACGTGCGTTGAAAATCGCACTTTCCACACATCGTATCAAAAAATACGGTATGGGACATGTTCGGGAAAGAGTTTCTCGTCTCGTGTACCTTTCCACCCTCGCTTCGCTCGGGCGTAAATGCCACACGAGACAAGAATTTACTTTCCCGCATTTGTATCGTAATGTACTATTTCAACAAATTTGAAATGCTGATAAACCAGTTGGCTAAAACGAATGATTTGAAAAATGTTTAATATAACTTCCTTATTATTTTAGGTGTTTGTTATTGATGCCATTGATAAAGATTTATTATACTGTCCAAAATATGTAAGAGCTTATTGTAAACAAACAGTACGGGAATACAAACAACAGCTAACGAAACATTTTCGCATAGACTTAAATACATTGCAATTATATTGTCCAGAAATACTGCCGAATAAGCTGTTAGATGATGATTTCGTATTTGATTCGTTAGGTTGGAATTATGTATATAATATTAGCGCAACTGACTCTTACAATGAAGACATGACAAAAAATTTTCTAGGATCTACATTTTATAAAATGTATGAACGTTTAAGTGATATTATCACATTTTATGTAGATCGAAAGGATGTTACGAAAGGTACTTAAGAATTTATTACGTACACTTACTATTGGTATTTAATATCCAGTTTCACTAGTGTTCAATATAAATTACTGCTGACACATTCACAATTTTATAATAATTTCAGAACAACTAGACAATCTAAGTATACCATCTTTCACAGAACATTGCAGAGATGTAAAAAACAAAGAGAACACTTCAAAACCCTATGACTATCACTCGAATAATGCAAGTTACCAGTATGAAAATCAAGATAAATCCGAGATGATTGATTATTATAAGATGTACTCGAATATAACTCCAAAAACAGAAGACCCGAAGACTGATGCGTTGTACAATTTTAACTGGCAGTCGAAAGAAAAAGGAAATAATGACTTGGCTGGTAAATACATTATATTTGAAATATAAATGACAAAAATTATGATTTTACTTATTAATATAATTCGTATTTTAGAAAGGCGAGAGTGTGAAATAGATGAAATGTGTCCTGAATTAAGAAGCGCTTTGAATGAAATAGCAGTTAGTCAGTTTAATAGAGAAAAATGCAACCAACATGAATTGAGTAAGTTTAATAATTTGTAATAAAGAAAATTATTTTTTGTAGTTGTTTTGAAATGTACAATAAATCTAATTTAAATAATATTGTAGTAGACAAAGAGATAGAGACTAGTCAGACAAGCAGTAACCTATATATACTTCCAGATGACAAAAAGAAACTTTTAGGAAATAATAATAATAATAATAATAATAATAATAATAATAATATTAATAATAATATCTTGACCAGCAAAGGTTTGTTTTTAAATTTTAAACCCACTAATTTATTCACAGAGTACACATATACTTTATAATAATTACACATAAGTGTTATTTTGAATTTTTTAGAACAATGTAGAAACATAGGGGTCATATCTAGATCACTTCATGATATAGCAAAAAAAGATAAAAATGAGGACTGGAATATGCAAGAAACAAGTAACAGTGAAGACAGCAGTTTAAGCGATAGTGATAGAACACTTATAGGCGATGCACCTGAAGAGAGCGAATTCAATTATAATAATTATGATAAATGTCCAATTGTAATGAATGCGACAAACAAAGACGGAAATAATGAGAAATTTTTCAAAATTGAAGATTTGAGATCACGAAATTGTAAGTAAAATTTGAGATTGTCAAATAAAATGTTGGATTTATTATTTATATTATAATTATTTGCTATAATTAGGAATTCTACGTTATTTAATTCACTGCTTTATTCATTTTTAGTGTTAAAAATATCAATGGACATTCACACGACAGAAACAGAACTTAAAAAGAAGTTAGAATCATTTTTAGATATACCTAGAGATTATTTCAAACTTGTGGATTTTTATGCAAATCATTTAGACGAACTTAATTCTATGACCTACAGTACTTCAGATAAATTGATTTTTACAGAAGATAAAAAATATATATTAAACTTGGAACGCATTCTCAATCCTGATGAAGATCAAATTACTATATATCTTCTAGAAATGGATTCACGAGATGTATGTTGTAAAATTTAATACGTTTTTCATGTTTTATTTCTTATTTCAATGATACGGATTGATTCATATGCATCGAGTATCTGAAAGTAATACAAAATATTTGAATATAATGCTATGTAGTTAAAGCAAAGTTGATTAATGATGATGAAGATGATAATAATAATAATAGTAACAATAACAATAATAATAATAATAATAATAATAATAATAATAATAATAATAATAATAATATAATCTTTATCGATATAAGTGGATTTGAATTTCAGATTTTGGGAAAACTGTTTACCACAATTGTAAAGAAGAATGCTTCTATCGGCAGCGTGAAGCATCAAATAATAGAAGAATTGAAGCGTAAACCTGATCAGGAATTAACCAGGTACACGTTACATTTAAAATGTCAAATATATTTACTTTTGCTAAGATTATCATAAAATATTTATTTTCTAGTTTATCCAGCGTACCTTACGAGAGATGGAAGTTTATGGAAATTGAAAATAACGTAGTCGGCAAGATTCTTGAAGACAGCGAAGACGATAAAATTCTTCCAGAATCTTTACGAGAAATATGTCTTCATCAACTACCAAGATGTCAAGACAACACGACGCGAATCTATGCAATGAAATGGAATATGTCGAAAACTCTTATGATAACGTTGCCTCGAGATGAAATAGACGTAGACAAAAATGAAGGATTTGGTGAGCAAATAAAGAAGAAGGTAAGTTTATTTATTCATTTGCGTACATAGTGGATTTTGTCGATGATTGAAATTATTATATATTTGTATTTTAGCTTTCTGACTCGCAAAATATCCCTGAAGAGAATTTAGAGTTTTATCCTTTGGTTGCTACAAAAGATATTGATATGAATAAAATAGAGAGTGCTGAATGGAAAACAAGTATAAGGCCTGATGAATTAGATTTTAAAACCTATCTTTTATATAGGTAATTACTAATAATTCCGCCAGTTATACAAGTGAAATACTTATCCCTTTTTATTTACTGATTAAAAAAAATATGTAAAAGATCAATACCGCGAATATAAAAATGTTTTATTGCTTTTATAAGATGAAATATATAAATACAATGAAACATATTTTACTAAGGAGTTTTTCTGTTCAATCCATTTTCAACTATCTATTAATTATTTTCTTCATATATTATTTAAAATGAAAAATTTATACGTTGCAGAGATTCCACAGAAAAGGCTACTTCTTTAACTTCATCAAACACGATTAAGAGGAGAAATAGAAGTAACGATGTATTCCGAATAAAAGCTCGAGGATTGGAAGCAGTACCTGTAAGCTCAAGTCCACGAAAAGAAAAGGCGCTAAAGATACGCGTGGGATCTACTTGATTATCACAGAATCAAATTCAAGCTGAGGAACAATCTCAGTATTACTACATTAGTTAATTATTGTTTTTTTCTTAAGACCAAATAATTATCGTTCTATGAGAAAATCGATAAAATAAAATATTTACGAGTGCGACAACTACGCGTTTAAAAAATTCGTGACAGAGTGTGGCGTTATTTATCAAAACCATGGATGCTCTTTAACTTAATGCATTAATTAAGGATTCAATGTTTCCAATGTCATGTAGAACATGTACAATCGTGCAATTGCTCAAGATAGTCTTATAAAAGATTTACAATCTTGAGTCCGAGAAATAATGTTTTTACAATGTTTCTCAAACATTTTGTTTCTAATTCATTTTTAAAATGTTCTGCGATTATGTGATTCTATCATTCATGGAAACCAAACTTGTTAGCTTTCTATCTTGCTTAATTTATAATGATTTATTTCTAGCTCATTTTTTCCCTCCACGCAACGATGGCTTCCAGGTTTTTAAACTTTTTATAATTTTAATGCAGTACAACATTCAAATTAGCTTTTCTAATTTTACCTAAAGTTTTGGTGTTTTCTTGCAAATGCGTAATTTATTTTCTTCATAAAAATGTAATCTTTATAAAATCGAAAAAAATTGTTAAAGCAGCAAGTATTCTTTGAAAGAAACACGATACATATTCGTACAATTGTAAATGATTCATTACATTTTATAAAATAAAAAATGTAAAAAATAAGCTAAGGAATGAGCGTAAATTCAAAATATTGCTTTTACGTCTCTAAAAGTGCCACTGTATATTATAATATTTAAGACAAACAAAATTGTTTCACGTTTAATATCGATTTTGCTTGCATTTACAAAAAAAATAATGTAGCATTTGTTTATGAATATGGGATAAACAAAATTTATCACTATTGCAATTATTTTAAAGTAACCTTTTTTGAAAATGGCATAGTTCATACAACCGCTGTTTAAGCTTGAAAGCATGTGTTATTAACGATTCTATTTAGTTTTAATTTATATTTATTGTTTTTCGTTTTGTTATATTTAGACACATAAAACATAACTTCAGAAATCAAATTGTCATAAATTAAATTTACAGATTTGCAATTATTTGTTCACTAATTTATCATTCTCTAACTTAATCACGAGAAAAGAAGTATGCCTCATTCAATTTTTGTAAAATGTTATTTGTTCTCATCCATTTTTACTTGACAACACTAATACAGTTTTCCAATTGATTCTTTTCTAGTTGTTTGACAATGTAAAAAAAAAAAGAAATTATAATAGATTCATAATTACATTTTGCAACGGATGATATATTTTATAACTGTATGTAAATCAAGAGCGAAAATCATTTAATTTAATGAAAACTTATTACCATGCGATTTTCTGATTCTAGCAGATACATATTTATGTATTATAAATTGTAGTTACAAGAATTATTTATAAATAATAATACAATAATTTCTGATACCTAGTGTTTTTAACGTACCTAACAATAACTCTCATTGAAATTACATTAAAACCTACTAGTTTCACTATCAGTACAATGAAACTATTGCTTTCTTTTCTTACATATCCAAAGAAATCAGCTTTTTAAGTTTGCAAAATTGGAAATGACGAACTTAAAATTGTAAAATTATATTTTTTTATTAAGTAACATTAAATAAGGAATGTATTTTTTTCTGTAATGAGTAACAACAAAATTTTTTACTTAAAATTCTCTATAATTATTGTTGAATTTACAATGATTTTGAACAATATTTGATGATATTAAAACAGCGTTGATGAACGTTTTGCGAAACTATGAAAATATTTAACTAATATAAATAACGTACATTTATCGAAAGTAGAGTATAAAAAATACTTATTACAAGTAAGCTTGCCAGCCTGCGAAAAGTCGACACAAATTAACTGGATCACGAGCTTGCTGAATAAGTCTTGTTACTTGACCGGGAATACTTGAACTTACACCTTCTTCTATCCCTTGCAATTTCTGTTGTACACGTAAAAGAGCTCTTTCTGCTAATTTATTTGTTTCTGCAATTCCAACTACAAAATAAGTATGTAAGATCATTAAAATGCATCTGTTATAAACATAATGCATAATTCAGGCAATGGTTAAGCTAAATTTTGAGTTGCAATTCCATTAATTTGTTAATTATTTAGATCGTAATAATTTGTTATGCGATAATTTTTTAAATAGATATTTGTTGTCAAGAATAAACAATCTCGATAATTTTGCATAAACCTAGTGAAATTACGTATATGGCTCTTTGAATTAGTTAGCTTAAGTATAAAATACAATTACATTTTCATCAACTTCATAATGAAAGGCTTGTTTATTATGAACATTTACATAGAAACACGACAAATCAGGAGCCGGACTATCTATCTATTTAGTTAATGGATTAATTAAAATTAATTTATTATATCAGTCTTACCTGGCGTATTATTATCTTTATTTTCGTTAGATCGCGTGGAATGTTCACTCTGATAAGTTGCAGCTTTGGCTGGTGTTATAGCCCACGAATAAAGTGGATCATACAGTAACACTCGTAACAAAGTAACAATTATTTCTTTTTGTTCTCTTAGTACAGTCATAGTTTCTTCACAAGAACGCCTCATTGTTCCTTCTACACCACTAACACCCATTCCTGCTTCGATATCCCTTGTGAGCCTAAATGGCACTGTTTCTGGTGTAGGCAAAACTTTACCTTGCTCAAATGCTATCCCTGTCAAGTCAAACAGAACACTATCATAAAATAAAGGATGTTAATATTGTTATAATAATATTGAAAAAGTATCTTACCAAAATCAATGTGAATGACTTCTGCAGTTGAATTGTCAATTAGAATATTTGAAACATGCCTATCCCCCAATCCTAGAATATAGCCAATAATGGAAGTTGTAGCCACGCTAACGTAAAAAAAAACCATCATCTTCAATTTCAGTAAATAATTATGAGAGAAACCACTTCTTTACCTTCTAGTGTAAGCCATTCGACGCTCAAACCATATTTCAGGAGACAAGTAATTTTCAGTGAAGAAATAGTGGAAAGCTGGAGGTAAATTTTTACAACAATCCATAAAAATAGAAAATATTTTATCACCTTTGGCTCCCTGCGAAATTGAGTAATAATATTATTATAATTATGCCTTAATATAATTACACGTAAGAAAGACAAAGTGCTCAAGAAAACTTACTGCCATTTTTTTTCTACATTCGGATGGTGAATAGTTTTTTGGAAAATACTTTTGATGAAGCCCAGGAAATCGTTTTCCATCGCCTGTTAGAATATAGCTCAAAGGCAGAGTATTAATACACCATTCTAAAACACCAGATCTTTGAGTAAGAGGGACAACTTTGTATGTTCGAACATAAAGCTTTCTCTGTTTTGCATCTTTATTACTTTTGAGTAATGAATTCATAACGGTGAAGACCTGCTGCATTACAGCATCTTGACGTAAATCATCTCTACCCTTAAGAATATGTAAAACGAAAGTTGTTATTAGGATTGTTTTTTCTTTTGTTTAGGTAAATAGTACCTACCTTTCCTACCTAAATACACTTACCTTTACTAATTGTGGTCTTTCTTTTCCATCAGATCCAAAGCAAACAATTTTTTTTGGGGCATTCATTCCGCCAACGTTGTCGTAACTTGATTCATACTTTCTGATAGTTACAATGTTTGAATATTTTTTGGTCTTTTTGATCTCTAAATTTATAGTAGGTACTAGAGAATGCTTAAAGTCTTTTATTGTATTAATTAGGAAATTTCTTGGAATTGAACATTTCGGTACAGCAACTGTAAATTATAAATGTAAAATTTTAAACAAGTTTAATTTTTCGAATCGGGTTATTGACAGTGTGATCTGCAATTAAAAAAAGACTTAAATTGATGAAATCTAAATGACCTTTTTTTCTTTCAGTATCGTAATAAGCGAGTTCAACAAGTGCTTCGGAAATTCGATCCATTTCTTGAATAATAGGTCCAATGCTAGTAGAAAGAAGTTGTTCGATAAGCATTTGTCCTCCTAGTACTCGAGCTTCCACTTTAACATTCTTTTTATAGTAATACTTGGAATCACTGTGGAGATTTTTAAGTGCAAGAAGAACTGGTAAGGTATGATATGGATGATCAAGAGCGCAGCGTCTTAACACTTTGTTGATTGTGTTTGTAAATATATCTTCAACGTTGCTCATATGTGGGGCCAATTGAGGCACTAAAGGTATGTACTTGTAAGAAGACACCATTTCTAATTGACCCTTTAAAATATTATTAACTTGTTCGTCATACATGTTGCCGTTGCTCAGCCACAAAGAAACTAATCGAAAGATCAAAAAGTCGTGGTCGTCACTCTTTTTTAAAGTTAATAGGTAGTTACTGTAAAAAAAGACAAATATTAAAGTAGAAATTTTCGATAACATTAAAAAGTTGAGTAGATTTGTACTAGTTACCTAAGAGCATGAGATAAATACATGGCTCTATCCTTTTTTATATTTTCAACTTCAATAGAATCATTACGACCCTGCCTGATAGTTAAACCAAATGCCTTTCTTACGTCATCATCAGTTTTGTCTTTTGATTTATTATTAACGTTTCGCGAATAATCTATACACTCTTGTAGACTCTCAAATGTTGACGAGTTCATATACTCACTAATTATTAAATACTGTTCATGAGTAAATTCTGCTAAGGCTGCGAAAGTTTTACATTGGCCCTTTAGATCATCCGAGCTTAATTCGCTAATATTTGAGTAGGAAGCAAGAGCTTTTTCGTAATATTTACTAACAATTGCCTATTCAAAAAAATGTGATATTATATACTGATTTAATATATTTACTGATATGATAAATTATTGTACCTGAGGATTTTCTGATTTATTTTCAGCAATCCAATTACCATACATAAGTAAAGCTTGCGCAAGAAGGCTTGGATCTGTGAATTCAGATTTTATGATACTTCGAAGATTATAGTTTGCCATATCTTCGTCATTTCTTTTCAATGCTAACTGTGCTTCATGATATTTTAAGTAGCACTCATCCAGCAAATCTAGATCCTTTTCTTTCGATACTATTTCTGTGTTTTAAACAAATACAAAAATTATTGATTTTATTGTAATTGCAAAAGCTAAAATTCATAAAAAAATTAATGTAATACCTAAAGCTCGAGTAGCTACATTAAAATTTCCTTCTTGTTGAGCCAATTGCGCAATTTGATACTGAGTATCGATGAAAGCATTCTGAATATCGTTTCGGCGTTTCATAGTTTCTTTGATTTGAAAAATTACTGTTCTTTGAGTGAGAATCGGTTCAATAAATTGAAAATTGTTATTACAAAAGTACTTGTCTTTTCCCCATTTTTTGAACAAAATATTATAATCTTTTGGGTCAGTTTCGCTGAATTCTTCAATTTCACGTAGCATTTGCAATTTCGTAAGTTTTGGATAAATAGCTTTACAACTTTCTGAAATTAAAATAAACATATTGATTTTTTTTCTCAAGTATGTAACAATAATCATAACTATGTTTGTACCTAAGCTAATATTGTTCAGTTCTTTAATCACACAAAAATGAGCTTGTTCAAGGAATGCATCTAGAGAGCTTTTATTATTTTCATGCAAACACTGTAACGCATAATAGTGAGACTCTGAAAAATGTCCCGCCTTTCTTCTAGAAACAGGTTTATCGTAATTTATTACTTGATTCCAATCACTTAACCTCCAATAGCAATCAAAGCGTAAATCTTCCATAGGGTCTGTGAGAGATGGCATGGCCAGCAAACGATTTGCCAGATAGTAATGACTTGAAGCTTTCAAAGCAGTTATCAGGCCTTATAGAATAAAAAAAAATATTAAGTATAAAATTTATAATGTACAGCCTAAGTTTCCTTATAACATGAAAAATAAATCTTACCTTTCTCAGAAACTTTATAACCAATACTACATTCGACATCATGCGATAACGTAAGCTTGTCGAGCTTTTGAAAGTTTGTATAATAGCATATTTTGGATTCACGATTTTGTAAGTGAGAGGAACCACAACCATGTATAGAATCTGAATCACCAATCTTCATATAAGCTTCTCTCATTACATCCTGTGCTGTCTTTCCCTCGTTCATCACCTGCTCATAAATTTGTTCGATTATCGGTATGCTATCAAAATCACGAAAATTCGACAACTTGGAGTGACACCATAGCTCAGCATACAAAATTGAAGAAAAATAAGCCGAACAAAATTGTGCAGCTATTGATATTGTTAAGTAATCAAAATTCAATATCACATTCTCATCAGTTTGTATGCGCATATAATTTACGATATTTAAAACGCACCATACAGCGTCGCGTGCTGTACTATTCTGCATCTTCTGTAATTTGTTCAAATATATTAAAAAAATCCACAGTTACGCACAATTATTCTTCCATTGAATTTAATATTACCTGTAACACAGTACTTGGAGTTTCATCTTCTCTAAGGCTATGACCAAAATGGTAATGAAAAAAGTCATTGATACTGCGGCATATTGTTGTACTCAGATTCCAGTCTGCTTCAACAATAATGGTAATTAAACGTGGCAACGCCACTTCGCAGCTTTGTACATTGAGTTTGAAAAGTGGTATAAGACTTTCACTATAAAGACCCATAGGAAGCTTTGCTACTTCAGATGTTACGTCGGCTATCCAAATATTGTACGGATTTTTTGACTCCTCAGTCCATCGAATAAATGAAAATGCTTGATCCAATTTCGATAGGTCGATTATTAGTTTTATTGTTTTTCTATAAATATTTAATCAGGTCGATTATGTTGAAGATTAACTATAATAAATATCAATACAAGAAAAAATTACCTAGAGATTTTTCTTTTGTGAGCACTTCTGAAAAGATACAAAAAGTCCTGTAAGTTTTCAGAGTTTTCTCGACAAACATACTCTGACAAAATGTAAAGAATATCACTGCTAACTGTACGTAGCTCAATGTCAGAGCTTACGATCAAATCTGCTAAAATCTGACAAAGTTTGTGCGTTAAAACATCAATTTTGTCGGTTTCTTTTTTCGGCGTCTCCTGAGGATGTAGAATTGTGGTGAAAAGATTAGTAGGTCCGAGTACACCGAGGCATCGAGCCGCTTCTAATGAGATTTTATCATCTTTAGATTTAGTGAGCTGAATTAGCCGATAAATAAGTTTGTGAAGCAAGCTTATAACACAGTCCTCGGCAAAACCTTGACTCGATTCTAACTCGTCGTAGAGCTTCTCTAAATCGACTTTTTTAGTACTCAACTGCTGTTTTAATTGTAAAAGGCTATTGATGCTACAGTTATGATCGTCAGTTGCACTCAAAAACTGTACAAGATTATTTTGTAATATCTGAAAAAACGGAATTCAATTAAACATTACAGTATACGGTAAAGTAAAAGGTATTTGACAATTTAGATACCTTGGATGGATGTGGTCGATAGTTGCCTAATTGAGTAGTATCTAGTAAGCAAGCCAAGTTATTGACTGCTTCGGCAAAACATTCTTTTTGATCATCAAGAAAAAACTCAAGAACAACTTTAACTAGAGATCTTCCATTTGGCTTCTGAATTAGAGGCACAAGCTGCTTCACACAAAAATCGAAAATTTGTACTAGCTGTGCACTTCTATTTGGAAGCATTTCTTCAAGGAAGACGAGTAAATATTTGCCAGCAAGCTGAACAATAAACGCATCATCTTCTTTAACCAAGTGTATCAATGTTGAAACAATGTCTTTAATAAAATACAACGCCACAATATCACAATGACTTTCCTTCAAGTCTGAAATTATCTTTTCACAGAAATAGACGTACTGATGTAAAGAGATAGCTTTAAATTCCGTTGTACTGCTCGTATAAATATTGCGAGTCAATTGTAATAAACTTTTTTGGATTATACTAGGCTGTCGCGTTATTATGTAATTAAATACTGTTTCCCTCGAGGTATTTGATAGTATTTGCATTAAATGATCAAAGCATTGATCCACAACATTGTATTTGTAGTATGGAGGATCTCGCTTAGGTAAACTGATGGTCGTTTTGAACGTAACATAAAAGTGTTGCGTATCATGAAGTCTTTGAACTATATAAAAAATCATAAATATATATAAATATATGTGTGTGTATGTGTATGTGTGTGTGTGTGTGTGTGTGTGTGTGTGTGTGTGTGTGTGTGTGTGTGTGTGTGTGTGTGTGTGTGTGTGTCAGCTAAGTATATTTGAAGCTAAAAAAATTACCTGTTTCAATTATAATTTGTTGTAAATTTTCACGTACAAGTTCTGAAAGGTTGTCAATTTGTTGAAAATATCCGTCATTATTTTGCATCTGTTCTAGTATACCCGGACATTCGTCTGATGTCGCCCATGGTATAATATTTGGGCTACAACTTTTGAAAAGATCTCGGAAAGTAGCTTTTATTATTCGACAGAAATCCATAGACTCATCAAACTTTCCCCCGCGAATCAATACGGGGAAAATAACATGAGCATATTTATCGTGAAATTCCAATGCATCAAAACAATTTAGTAAGATAAATGGAAAAGTGTCTAAATTTCTATTTTGGCACCAATCAGTCAAGATGTAATTGAGATTATGTTCAATTATTTTCTTGAAAGAAAAGCCACAAGCATTGATTGCTTGAAGAGTTCTTAGTACGATGTTTGTTTCAATACCTACATAAATAAACAACAATTACCATCATTCAAAGATATATAAATTTAGTTCAACACTTACCTTTATCAACGATTACTTGCGACAAAGTTAATAGTACAGAACTTTGAAAAATACTCTGACTGCAGATAATAGTTGTCAATATTTGCATCACACTAATACTTCGCATCAATCGCTCTTCCTGAATTTCATCAACACTTAATTCTCTTTGTATAACAAAAATGTTTTCAACGGAATCCTTTAGTTTGTCAAAAAAACTTTGTTTCCAAAAGTCAGCGATCTTCTTTGATGAAAATATAGAATGAATACACTTCAAACTCTCTAATCTCACAAGATAATATGAACTTTTTATAAATGTTATGAATATATCATCATTCAAAACATTTTCTTCTGCATCATATGAAAAAGTAGTATGCTTGATGATACTATTAAGGCATGTAACCAGTGAAAGATGAACTAATTGTCCAAATTCCCCTTTTAAAAATTTATTGTGATAATGTTTGCAAACTAAAAATATATTATGAACATGCACCTTATTATATAGCAAAATAATTTTATCGAGAAATTTGGGGAATAATTGTAACAAATAGCGAGTAACTTTGTCATCACGGTGCCAGTCGTTAAACAATTCCAGCATGAAATCCATCAGTAATTCCATTAGTTCATCTGTAACCATTTTGACTGAAATATTCGAAAATATTTGTAATGTAGTCAAAACACCGATGACATCGGTTACGACGAGCAAATTGTATTTTTCCAATTTCAAAAGTGAACTTGCAATTTTTACTTGAAGATCTGTTATACTTCCTCCGCTTTCCATGCAACTAAATAAGGCTAACACTATCATTACATTTATTTGACATTCTTGTAATGTATTTGACTCGCTATTTTTGAATTTTCTAATCTCATACAGTTTTTTTACAAAATCACATTCCGTTGCTTTTATTATAATACTGTTAACTTCAGCGTCGTATTTCGTTTGATATAACAAAATTAAAGCTTTTGTTATTTCCAATACATAATGACAGGTACGTTTTATATATTTTGACCAAGAAATACATTTCATTTCATTCATAATTTTTGATAAACAGGTTTGCAACTCTGTCACTAGGCAAAATTCATCTAAAGTGCTCTTGATCATGTTCATTGCTTTCAAATCCGAGATTACGACAGCGATAAGTGCAGTTTTCATAATGAATGTATTCAACTCTTTTTCAGCTTTGTCAGTTTTCACTATTTGTAACAAGTTATTTACTAAATAATCCAGATCTTTTGAATTAAATGGATTATCGAGAATTGTTTCATCCCACATCTGAACTAGATTGTTGATCCTCGATGCAAATGGTACACTTGTCTTCAAATTTAGTGACAAGTAACACTGTTCAATTTTATCTATCGTTAGCGATTGCATATTTTCGTAACAATTCTGTTCCATATTTATGTAGTATTCATCGTTACAGTCTACTTGTAAAGTTCTTCTATTTTGCTTGTACCACGTTTTTAATGTAAAACCTATTAACAATTTACTGAAATTTTCAATAGACAAAGGACTAGTGAATCGTTTTGGAAATGGATGGAGACTCCATTGCATCAATTGCAACTTCAAGCTATTATTTGTCAAATGTATAGTATTTAATTCACAATTTGGCAAAACATTATTATGACAAAATACTTCCAGAGTTCGGATGGAATGGCTAGATTTCTGAATGGACTGTGTTGTAAATAACTTTAAAATTGACTCTGGATTAGATATTCTTTTATAATAGATGAGATTCTGTACTAATGTGCAACCTTTTTCTGCTACGTCTTTGTGACTCATACTCAGATACCTAAAACAATAACAAACATCAGTTTATATATCAAGCATCAGGTGTACAGTTGTACATACATTAACGAGATCATAGAGTATTTTTAATTATCTAAGATCGATTATACAATAAAAAAGTAAGCTTGAAAATTGTTTCTAAGGGTTTAATCCTGAACTAACGCTGCAATCATCAGTCCTACAATTCGACGACATCTAATGTCACCTTACCCATAAGACTAATTTTCTATTTATCACTTTACCGATATAATTCATCAGCAATGGTTCTCAAACACGCCAATTTAGATTTTTCCATTTTTATTTGTTTGTTCGATTAAAAAGCAAAATTTAATGAGTTTTTAATAAAATTGTCAACGAATGCGAATTCAGATCTGATACATGTCAAGATGCTTATATCACACAGGGTATTATATGTATAGCCATAAAAAAAGTAAATTAAAAAATATAATTATAAGAGGTATAAACATTGCAATGATGATTGTAATAACTACAATTCATCATAATAATTAATCAATAAATCATAGCAACAGAAAGGCAAACGTTCAAAGTTAGCGGTACATCACATTTAGGTTGAGTGTCCCTATTATCGGCCATCACCCACTACCTGGCCCCTATAATTTAATTTAATAAGCTTAGGCAACGTATAAGCAAAATAATTAATTCGACATTAATATATGCAACCTATTTAATGGATTGAAACTTGTTTCGTCACATAAAAATATCAAATTTATTTATTTGATAAAAGTATAAAAATGTCCGGATAGTGGTATATTCGACTTTTTCTTAAGACCAATTACCAGCCATAAAGCAAATGTAAATAAGGGACATTTTTACTATTTCTTTCAGTTGTATAACTGTTATATAATGTCTCGTTTCTTGTAGTTTTTGTCAAAATCCAATGTATTTTTGTTTATTAAGAAAAAATTATAATCTTGAAAGTGAAGAAACTTTGTTCGATAAAAGTCTGTTACGAATTTTAGAAAGTCGTATTTTTTTTCAATACTACATTGCTTCATCATTTATTAAAGTTAGAAAGAATTAGGAAAGCGATTTAGTGATTCGACGTTGCGCCGCGGTATCGATTTTCGAGTCCTTTAACTTTTCACAATATTCGATGACGGCCATTATTTTCAACACGCCAATCGCTTCAAAATCGAATAAACTTCATTTTGTCAAAATTTCACAAATGTGTTAAATTTTGTTCTATGTTATTTATTACTTACAACTTGAAAAAATATCGTCTTCCATATACTTTTCCATTATACACCTACGCGTCCATATTCTCTTTGAAAATAAATATAAAACAAAATGGTTTATTCAATTCTAAAGCGATTACCGTATTGAAAATAATGGGTCATCGAATGTTTTGAAAAATTAAGAGATTCGAAAATCGAAGCGATACCGCCGGTGTAGCGTTGATTCGCTAAATCGCTTCCATAATATTTTCAAACATTAATAAATAATATAATACTGGAAAAATAGGATTTTCGAAAATTCGTAAGACTTTTATCAACGAAGATAAACCCTTATAATCGTCGCTTTTATCGAATGAAATTACGCGTTTCTTTACTTCTGAGGTTAGCATTTTTCCTAAATAAATAAAAACACTTTAAATTTTTACAAAGACACAATTTTTTGGCTCCAATCTATCAATAAATTTTTTATTTCAAGCGAGAACATGAGTAGTGCTTTTTACCGCAGAAGGCCCTGTCCAATCTGCCCCTGAGCTGAAAAATCTCCTTACGTATTATCTAAATAGTTTTATTGATGAAGCTATTTTAAATTATAACGTTTAAATGTATAATTTTTATTTTAGCTGTTTTTAATTAAAACCTTAAATTATATTAACTATTGCTGCTAGAATGAAAGCTCATTTGATCAAGTTATATTTATAATTTCTTCAAAATACTACTTTTCAAAAATCATTATTATTGTAGGCATCTGTGAAAGGTCAAAAAGTTTAATCGAACGGCAATAAATACAATAATACACATATTAAAATCCAGACCGAGCTTTCATCGTCGAACATGAAATAATCTTTTATGAACGCCTAGCTTTTTGTTTTAATAATATTTATAACCTTATAGCTATTGAATTATAATATTATATTTTAATAATATTAACTCGTCTATCGTTACGTTCTCAGAAGGTACGACTAGATTGTATTACTGTATTGTTGCTTTAAAAAATCTTTGATTATCTGATAATAATCTTATGTAATGTACCATCAGAATATTTTTAACTAATAATAACGGTTTTGTGTGCAATATTTTTTTGATTCAACTTAGTAATGTTAGGTTTAGTATTCAATATATCATTACCTAACGTGAACACGATCTTATAAATATCTTCATATACTTTTGGATAGAATTATTAGTAATGGATTATTGAAATTATAACAATACTACAAATATGCTACAAGTAACAAATTTTGAAAAGTGGAGTTCCTGAAATCACCTGAGTGCTGAATCCCATATTTTGTCCCAGAATCTTTTCAAATCATCTTCTTTGTGTATGTTATTATTTTGAGCGATTACTGTGGCCAACTCACATATACTTTCTATGATTGCAAAAGCTTTAGCTTGACTCATTAGTTTGACAATGATTTCAAGAAACTCAAGACCTTCATGGAATATCAAACAATCTGGATATTTTTTATAAAGACATGCGGCTATTTGAATTATTGGCCAGGCTCGTTCAGGATCTCTATCATTGACTAAATCAATCAATTTTTCCTCCGACTCGCTATTAGAAATACGCCTTTTTTTCCGAGGTTGAATGTATGCACTTTCTTGAAGCATATAAGACTGCGTTGAACTTGGAGGTAGTTTTATAAATGTTTTTTGTCTGAAAACTATATACACTAATATTATGATTATATTCATATAAAAAGGGATCTAAGAAAATCAAATTTGAATATCTGCCTTCACACGCCAGTGCTAAATGATTTGTTGACAAAGTTGTTAGCTTTATGTCTTTTAAAACCATTTTATACAGTAAATGCAAGATTGCTTTCCACTTTTCTTCATCGTAAACATGACTTATATCGTCTCCTAAAATAGCACCATTAGGGTGATGTGCTTGTACAAAAAGAAGATATAATTGATATTTTTCTTCTGGTCCCTTGACTTCAATCATAGATAGCGGTAAACTTTCAGAAAATACAATAAGTATATATCTACTGTCAATGGCAATTTGTTGACACACAGTAAAGCACAATTTGAATAAAATATCTGTTGATTTTATGTTATATGACTGGTAATTTTCAAAAAGATCACCTAAAAAGTACATATAATTACTTTTATATAAAAAACTATAAATTCAAACATCATAATGATTAACTATTACCAATGGTAGGCAAAAGCTTTTTTGTTTCAAATGATAAATTGGACAATGTACATCCATGTCTGACTACAAGTTCTACTGTTTCTAGAAGTGTAACATAGTTCAAATTTTGAATTTTACGTTTTAAAATAATTATGCATACATCTAATAATTCTTGCCACTGGCTAAATGGTATAAATATACACTGTGATCTTTCTTGAAGCACATGCTTTATCAATATACTTAAATAAACTTCATAATATTCTGAAAATATCTGAGCTCTATCATAGTGCAAGATGCTTATTGTTGAATTTATTACTGTCTGTGGTTTCAAATAAAAATTGGCCTTGTCTGAGGTACAAAATAATAGTTTTGTAATTTTTTCCTTGTCTAAAGTGCCAGAATTTACTCCAGCAAGTTTGCTGATTCGTACAATTTCCTAAATAAACAAATAATTAGAATCAATATACAATAAAGATAATACAAAATTTTATTTTGTCATTACAGTTTCAAATAAATTGTGAACAACAATGAAAATGTCATTCCAAGAGTAATGATCCTCTTTCCTTTTATTTCCAGATTTTAATAAATAATTGGAATAATTACTAATTTCTTGTATGTCTGTATCTGAATGATCTTCCCATAGCTCTATTAGGTACTTAATTGCTTTCTAAAAATGTATAAAAATGTATCAGTTTTTAGTTTTATAAATAATGAGTAGTTTGTATGAAAATGAAATGACATTATTTCGTGCATACTTTGTACTCAAGAACTTTTTTACTGCTAGCCAACGACATTATGTGTGAGACTTTTCCCATAAAAGTAGTCATTTTTTATTTGTTTGATAATAATTGAAAATATACAATAAATTAACCTCGACAATTTAGATAAAAACATATGAACGTCAAAATACATTCAAGAAACACATAAACATTGATAACTATAGTATAATATTAGACATCACATTTTTCTAACACATTCACTAATCATTAATCTTAACATTGACAACTGACATGTCAAATATTTTTTCTTTGTCCTCGGTTTGGCGGCTTTTATCTTATAGCCAGTCGGCCGCACTACATCTACAAACAAAATCTAATTTGTAATGATTCACAGAATTCGGCCGAGTGCGACGTTGCCATTGTTTACGCGCACGTGCTTTAATTTTAATTAACTTATTATTGCAATATTTGTAATGTTTGAAAATTTGAAAACCATGTAAAAAGAATGTATATTTACAAGATACTTAAAGACAGTAAAGCAACAAATCATGTAGTAATTAAATGAATATTTTCTAGAAACATTTATATATATATATATGTAAAATTATACGCTACCCGGACATTGATATTTGCGACCCATGAAAAACAAAACACAAATTATTTTCAACGATTGAACATCGTATCGCATCAAATGGATTTTTTCTGGCAAGTTTTGAGAATACAACTTGCCAAAATAATAGCCCTTGATGTAACCTTGTTTGGTGTCTTCGATGCTTAATTGTCGAAAATAATTCGGATTTCGAACTTAGCGGGTCGCGAATTAATTATCTGCGCAAGGCGCGCAAATCGCGTATGGCACATTCCAGACTATTATGACGATCAACTTTTCAGGGGGCCTATTCTGAAAAAAAATTTTAGCACGAGGCCTATTCTGAAAAAAAATTTTAGCACATGTCATAAGCATTTATCACATCTAAAGTGATTAATTCTGTGGTAAACTGAAGTGACAAACTGATTTACCACAAAATTTTTTTTCAGAATAGGCCCCCAGGGGTAGGTTTCGGATTTTCTTGAAACTTGGTTTACATATTGTCTGTATGGTAGTATATTTAAGCATGGATTATTAGATCATTATAATAATTATATCAAAAGTTATAAACAATTGAAAAATGTTGACGAAAAATTTTCAAAAATTTATATCTCCGCAACCATTTAAGTTATCGAAGCGAATTTTTTTTAAATTACACATAAAAGGGTGTACTTTGAAAATATTAAACGAACAATACTTGAATATAAATTTTTCCAAAAGTTATCAACATTTTTTTTAAACAATTGCCCATATCTCAAAAAATGCTATTTTTATTTAAAAAATTCTTTTTTTATTGAATTCCTTGACATTTTATCTTTAAGAATCTGTTTTTAAATATATCAAGCGATCATTAGATACGACACAATAAGCGATAGTGGACGCTCACACTATACGACGCCGATAAGTCGATAAGTTTGGTAGCAGCGCCGACCGAACGATCGACCAAGTTTAAAAAAAATGTTAATAACTTTTAAATTGATATTAAAATATTTTTCGCTTAATATCTTTAAAGTACACCCTTTTATGCGTAATAAAAAAAATTCATTTCGATAACTCCAATGGTTGCGGAGGTATAAATTTTTAAAAATTTTTCGTCAAAAATTTTCAATTGTTTATAACTTTTAATATAATTATTATAATTATCTATACTTAAATACACTACCATATAGGCAATATGTAGACCATGTTTCAAGAAAATCCGAAACCTACCCCTGAAAAGCTGATCGTCATAGCTGGAATGTGCCGTATACATACATACAACACACACACAAATTTATGCCAACCCTACACATTTTTAATTTAACGCGCGCTTTTTGTGTTTTGTTTTGGATTTATAACCTTATAGCAGCGCAATACCCATTGAAGTTTTAATTCAAATAAAAATATTTATTTATAAAAATAATGACAGCGACTGTAGCAAAAACTGGGCCTAACTTACCATGGTATAACCATTATTTTAATATTTTAATTGTACCAGTTTAAATATTGTATATTTTTTAAATATTTTTATAAATTTAGGGTTGAAAAGTATCGGCCAAATAAACTAGATGATTTAATTTCTCATGAAGAAATCATTAAAACAAGTAAGAAGTTATAACAAATAATACCATTTCATTAAAATACCATTAAGTGTAATTGTGATAATAAACTCTACTTTCAGTAAACAAATTTATTGATGAAAATCAATTACCTCATTTACTACTTTATGGACCACCAGGTACTGGAAAAACTAGTACAATCCTTGCATGTGCTAAAAAACTTTATACTCCACAACAATTTAATTCAATGGTAGAATATATGACTATATATTACGTCATTATACAGAATAATATAAAATTATTGAAATTCTAATGGTGTTATAGGTTTTAGAATTGAATGCATCAGACGATAGAGGTATAGGAATAGTAAGAGGTCAAATATTAAGTTTTGCAAGTACTGGAACTATGTACAGATCAGGATTCAAATTGATCATATTAGATGAAGCTGATGCAATGACTAATGATGCTCAAAATGCTTTAAGAAGAAGTTTGTATATTTATTGTAAGAAATATATTTATAAAATCTTTATATTAAAACAATTTTTTTAGTTATAGAAAAGTATACTGATAATGTTAGATTTTGTATCATTTGCAATTATTTGAGTAAAATCATTCCTGCATTACAATCTCGTTGCACGAAATTCAGATTTGGACCTCTTGCTGAAAAACAAATCATGCCTCGTTTGGAACATGTTATTAAAGAGGAAAAGTATAAAAACAATTTATTTTAGTCAGACAAAATTTAAAGAATAGTATTTGATAACATTTTGCAATTATTTGGGCAGAGTTGATGTAACAAAAGATGGTAAAGAGGCCTTAATAACATTGAGTGGTGGTGATATGAGAAGAGTGTTGAATGTTTTACAAAGTACATGGCTAGCTTTTGAAAAAGTCAATGAGAAAAATGTCTACTTGTGTGTTGGCCATCCCCTTCCTAACGATATAAAAAATATTATTAACTGGCTATTGAATGAAAATTATGAAACTGCATATAACAGTATCCTTTAAAAATTTCACCATTTTTTAAAACTTTTGAAGTAAAACATTTTTAACTTAATTAATAAATAGAAATTCAAGATTTAAAAACGAAAAAAGGACTTGCACTCCAAGATATTTTAACAGAAATCCAAGTACTCGTAAATAAAAGTAAGTTCAGACAGAGGATACCGGTATTAATTCATAATCTCTGGTTCAGACATCAATATTTATTTATAAGTAAACGTTAATCTAAGTACAAATTTATATTTTTTTGCAGTTGAGTTCCCTGATGATGTTTTGATTGACTTAATAATTAGGATGGCTGAAATAGAGAAAAGGGTTATTAGTGGTTGCAATGAAGCTGTGCAGCTTAATTCTTTGGTTGCTGCCTTTCAAAAACCACGAGAAATAGAAATCCCATAAATTATGTGGACGGACTAGATTAAAATTATTGTTATAAGTTTGTAAAAAAAATATTTTAATATAAAAAATCAAATATGTACATTTGTATTACATTATTTTTACATTTTTCCAAACAATATTTAATCTTAAAAAACTTAAAAATAATGCAAAGTTGTTTACATTCTTGTTATACTAATTTTTCAGTTGTAATGGAATGTCTTAAAACTGTATTATCCCATGAACATGTTATTAAGTCACTTTTATGCCATGCTAGACCTCTTACAAAATCTTTATGTGCAGTATTTTCAAAAATAGAACTGTAATTATTAGATGAGTCAAAGACTTTAATTTCTGTAGAATCGCAACAACCAGCCAGTTGATTTGAACTATTAGGGTTGAATAACAATTTGTGTATGCCTCTTGGGAATTGAATAAATTCATAAACTGCAACACCAATATTTCGAATGTCAAAAATTGCAATACTTCCATCTATTCCTCCAATAGCAACAGTATTCTCATCATCAAACTTCCATGAAGCAGCTGTGAGCCCACAACAAGAATTTTTCCATAAACCTTAAAAAAAATAATAGTTGAATTGAAATCTTAATAAAGTAGCATCTTAATAAAAATTGTCAATATTAGCTGCATAAATAACATAATCAATATTTTCTAATATGAAGTTAAGTAAATCAATCGCATATACCTATAGCAGGTTTTGTTTTCCTTATATCCCAAATCAAAGCTTCATGGTCCATTGATGTAGATAAGAATACTGAGTTGCTATTCACTTGAGTCTGAACACAAGTAATTATATCTGTTTGAGCTTGATTGAAGAAAGTTGTTGCTAGAATTTCTGTTGTATCCCAAATTTTTATACTACAAGAAAGATATGCTTCAGTAAAAATGATTATATAAAATGAACTTACATTTTTTTACCAAGCATCCATTCCTCCTGTGACAATATGAACATTGTCTTTGAATGTTGAAACTGAGGTCAAGCTGTCGTCATGTTGACAAGAAAATCCCATGCATTGCAATTCTTGAAGTTGAGTTTCAGGTTTTGTGATTAATTCAAAAACTGATAAAAGACCACTCTCTTCTCCAACAATAAATTTATCATATTTGTCTAAATATGCAGCAACACATACTCCACTCTCTGTTTTACGAGCTGCTGTGTATTTATTGCGATCAAAATTAGTGAGACCATTATAGAACCAAACTGATCCATTCCAATATCGATCAACCATGTTACTTGCTCCAAGTACCAAGCTATCATCTAAACATATATAATAAAATAACTAACATGAAAATATTAGGAAAAGTAGTATTATTAAGTGTAAGTAATATTATATTAGTTTTAAAAGCTCAAAATACCAATAAAATTATGTTAAATTCCATGCTATTTATAATTTATTTATCATTCACGAATAAAGAAGAAAAGAATGGTATGCAAAAGCTGATATCATACATTATAACCTAAATTGTTACCTTTATGAACAATAATGACTTGCAATTGCTTATCGTGAATGGGCGGTTGATCCGCTGGAGACAAATTTCTATATGCATCTGCATTTAAATTTGGATCAATTTGTTCTTTCTGTTCATCCATTTTAATGAACTGATGACAGCGTTTCAATTTTTTTTATCATAAAAGTAGAGAAGCCGGGCTGTAATAAAGTTGCAAGTTTTACAATGTGATGGTGTCACGTGTTGACTTGATGCAGTATTCAAAGGTTATTTCATCACGTGGCGGTGCCACTTTTAACTGCCAATTAAAATCTAGGAAATCTAGGAAATTGATTGAATATAGAAGTTTTTAACTTCATGAACGTAAAATATATAGTACTTTTATATTAAACGTTAATGTAATCTTAGATATTGTATTGCATGCGTTTGGGGATATTATTTTAAAATTTATTACATTTCGCTATATATCATAAATTTGCATCGTTGATAAATACTATCTTTATAAAACAGATGTTTTAGCAGAAAGCTAGTGTGATTTTCTAATCTAATTTAATTTTTCTTGGATCCCAGGATACGTATATCAGGACTACCGCATGAAATCCTATGCGGGATTTATAAAGAATTAATTTCTGGCAAATTTTATGAGCTTTACTTGTTTAATTTATATATATGATAAAAGCGGGAGTATACGAGCGAGGCTATATATATATAGATAATTTCCACGGTGACGGATGACGCATGCGTGTTGAACATCAGTGGTGCTCGCGCACAACGCAAGTCGACGACGACGATCTTGTTCTTCGCGCTTGCGTATACTTGTGTGCATACACACACAAGTAATGGAGCACATATAAGCATATAAGCATATATACGATCCAACTTGCCTAAAGCAGCGAAAATCGTAAAATTTAGCCCAACGGAAAACGAGTCTGTACACGAAAAAGACAAGACAGACCACCACGGGCAGTCGAGTACACAACTAAGAAAGAGCATAGGTGGCGCACGCTCCTCACTACTCGCGACTGTACCTACGCAAACGGCAACGGTTAACGAAAAGGCGAGCAGTCAGCAGTGCTACTTAGTGTTGTATCTTGGGATAATTTTCTGCTTTTTGTAAGTTAATGAGCATTTATACACTGCCTGTAACTTGGAATCACGCAAATCAGATTAAGAATAATTTGTTGAAAGAAATTGCAGCGTGCGCGCCTATTTCCTAGACACAAATATCTGCCTTTGTACGTACGTACATACAATTCATCTATATATACAACATATATATCTGTCAGGCAGGAGCCACCTGAAGTGCTCGCTCGCGTTCGAGCTTTGTGAGTGATCGACAGAACGGAGGAAGCGCGAGCGAAAGAGAGAGAGAGAGAGAAAGCTACGGCGAAGACGACGACGCAAGGTTGCTCTCTCGTCGTCCGCGACTAGTGTCTGTGTGTGCGTCGGAGACGGCGAGTGTCTTTTGCAAGGCACGTCACGCTTGTTTGCTGCAACAGTGATTCGGCACCGCTAAGAGGCTTCCACAAAGAGCATCTCCTATCAAAGGCAGCATGTCGAACAAACCAGAGCAGATCCTCATCATCGAGCCTCAAAATGAGCTGCGATTCCGGGGTAAGTTTACACTTTGATAACATTATGCAAACTCAAAGCTGAGAACCCGCAGCCACTGCTGATGATCATTTACTGGTTTGACTGGCTGTCGCGATTTGTGTAAGGTCGGCGAATGACTGGGCGTTTTCGCCGGATTATGCATGCCGTTCCTGCAATTTGCTAGCTTACGAGTGATCGGTTCCTAGTTTTTCTAAAGCGCGCTTTTCTTGGATTAAAGTTTTGCTGCAGCTCGACTAGTGTATATGTATATGCGTGGCGCGCCACGACATGGCGATTATTATCGTACACGCGTGCAAGTGGCCTGGAATCAGTCAGTTTTTAAAAACAGATTTTTCAGCATCTATGATTTCTGTCATCCCGTTACTTTCAATTGCTGGCCCACCGTTCTTTGTATAATATGGTGCATTTGCAGAGCGCCACTTTCCGACCTCCTTGACCTGCAAACAAAAAGCCTTCCTCTCATTTTTCGTACTTTTTCAATGTTTTTCTTCTAGTCATTTTACAATGTAACGCAACACCTGCATTTCTGGCAATCCCTTCTTGAAATTTTTTTCGTTTTGATCTATCTATCTTTTCACAGTAGCAGAGATGAAACACTTTTTTAAAATATTGATTTATGTCCACTTGAGTTTCAGCAAAAAACTTATTTTTAAACTCAATGATGAAGCACTCAAATTGGGAATAAAACTTTAGTCTTGCATAATAGATTTTATTTATTTATTTAATATTTATTATTAGCTTTTATACAAAAGAGTTATGTTAAATTTGGGTAACACTACAGTTAAAACTTTATTAAAATTATTATCATACAGAAGCTATAATAGCTTTTTCTATAAAATTGTTTTTATATTGATCATAACTTCATTTCTATAATTAATTTTGATAATTGTTTTATATTGTCAAATTGTAGTCTCTAAGATACCTTTAGTTATTCCACAAAATATAGAGTGTTGAAAAAATACTAATTAAATATTATAACATTTTTAAATACTACAGTGTCAACTTTTCTGTGAATGCCTTTATGAGAATGGTATTTATCACTTCTCTTTACAGGTCCTTTCACAGGAGCTCCAATTGCTTCGTACATGAAACTTACAAATCCCACAAGTAATCAAAAAGTATATTTTAAGATAAAGACTACTGCTCCAAAGAAATACTGTGTGAGACCAAATTCTGGTCTCATAAAACCAAAAGAAATTTGTGAAATAGCAGGTAATATAATTTGAAATCAACTATAAGCCAAGTATGACTTGAACTATGACTAAACTTGCTTAACTCTGATTTTGTAGTTTGTTTACAACCATATGACTTCGATCCAAATGAAAAAAGCAAACACAAGTTTATGGTACAGACTTTAGTTGCTCCAAATGATGATCCAGATGAAGATTCAACAGAAATTGTGAGTATAAAGTTTAAAATATAATTGAGTAAATTTATTTAATAGTGTTTTTTATTTGAAAAATACTTTGTAAAATTATTAGAAGCTTTTGTGTTTTGAAATACCAAATATATGTACCTACACAAGTTATTTGGGCAATTATCCAATACATTTCTAAAATTACTTTCACGTTTCCCTAGTTACTCAAGTGTAATAGAGCTATCAGCAAATAATAATCCAATTTAGTCCTATGGATTAATTTTGTGCATAGTTTCCAGTGCATAGTTTTTCATGCATATTCATTTTGCTATAAAATATTAAATTCCAGTCTTAAATTTTCAGTGGAAGGATGTGAATCCTGAGCAGTTAATGGATACAAAACTTAAATGTGTTTTTGAAAATCCTGTTAGCAGTACTACTACAACTAAAGCTAAAGCAACTACTACAACGAGCAAATCAGATTCTAATTCCATTGATGGTAAAACTAAGGCTGCTGGAGATCTCAAATCATCACCAAAGGTAAAGTGGAAGTACAATAAATAACAATAATTTTTATTCACTTATAATTATGATGTATTCTTTTTGTTAAGCTCAATGATGAAACTGATAAAATATTACTGAAAGCAGCACAAGAAGTTAGTCAACTCAGGGTAGAAGAAAGTACTCTGAGGCAGGAAAATCTTCAGTTGAAGGTAATTTCATGCGTGATTTGTATCTTTGTTTATATATAAGTAAGAACTGACATCAATATAATTTTTCCAGGAGGAAATAATGAAATTGAAGAATGCAGCACTAAATAAAGATGTGAGCTTGGCTTTAATGTCTAATTTAAATTCATCTCAAAGTAACCAGCTGCCCATGTCCACTACCCATATAATTATTGCTGTCGCCATGGTTGTAGTCGGTTATTTTTTGGGAAAACTGATCTGAAGAGCCTTAGCCTTATTGTAATCAACCACCTCTGGCACGCCATTCCCTTTTCCTCTCCCTACTTTTCTTAGTCTATCCTTCCTGCCACTTGGCTGATGCCATGACAGTTACTGTGAACTGCGAAGAGAGAAAGCAAGAACGTTTTATCAAGTCAACTAGAGTCACTCAAATGTTCATAATAAATAATTACTATCAACTTATACTGTAGTGTAATCTACATAAAGTAATTAGGATCGTTTGCTAGGCGAATGTGCTTAATGCAATAAAAACAAGTGAGAGTAAAGTCCTTTTCTAAGAATTTCAAAATATAATACCGTTGTAATCACTTTTTAAGTTAAGTTTAATTTGTTTCTTTTCTTTCTTTCTTTCTTTCTTTTTTTTTATATTATAAAGCCGTAAAATATTGATTGGCTTTGAATTGAAAATATATTTTTTCATGTCTTTGTGAAAGGAAAAGAACGAAAGAATGAAACATACAAGTCTCAAGATGGCATTCTTGATTTAATAAAAAATTATCAAAATGCTTTTAGTTTGTATGTTATTTTATTTGTATTAATTTGTTTTATTTGTTTTAGTAATGTGTATTTGGCAGTAAAGTTTGTTCTTAGAAAAGGATTTTATTTATTATTGTGTCGCGCGCGTTTTGTCAGTGTCTGATACATAAAAACAAGTTCAATCAAGTACTAAAAAACATCACCGTATCATCATATTACTAGGCTAACAGAAATACCGCTGTTTCCAAATATTTGAATCGTGACTCTTGGAAGAGATGTTGATTCGTCTTACCGCATTATGTAACATAAATTAAGAATCGTACTACGAGAAAATAAGGTATAAATAGTATGTTTGACGGTAAATTATAGTTAGAGAATCGGTTAATCGGCTCATTATTACTACAGTGAACCTCGGGCGACTTTTGAGAATAGATTTTGAGCCGCACCCCGTCCAACAACATCGCTGACACGTTCTCTTCGCTCAGATTTTGTTTCTCTTTTTTACACATAGAGCAAAATATTAAAACTGTCATTTCTTTCTACACTATACATTATAACTGGAATTCAGAGAAGTAATTCATTTTGTTAATAAAATAGTAACAAAACTAAACCAAGAAAAAGCAAAAGTGTAGTTTTTTATCTGAAAATAGAGACCTAACAAAAGTTGTACTCGTGATTTAATAAGAGTCTATTAAAACTTGTGATGAAAATTGCGAATGTAAAATATGAAAAAATGCATTTTTTGAAAATATATACGGATTGGCACATAAAACGCATGGCGGACTTGCAAAAGATTTTGAAATTACAACACGTATAGCGCTTTTACCATATTCGCAGGGGCTTGTACTGCCTGTTGTGTTGACCATTTCAGCTGAATGTGAAGATAAAGGCATAGCACACTGACTAACGTATTCGATAGAGGCGCAAGGTAGCCTAAAAATAATTATTTATTTTTAACAACATATAATACAAGATTGTTCGTTATTAATTTATTTATTTATCAAAACAGTCATACTGCTTTCACTCTTCGAGTGTGTTACAGTTTTTAAATGGAACTAGACCTAGAAGATGTGGATGGATAGCGTGAAAAAAAATCCTAAGCTGGCGGCGTAGGAAAGAGAGTTATATAAATAGGAGCATGTGGGGTGGGAAAGAGAACGGTTTTAATTAAAATGTAGTTGCGAAAAGTCTATGATCTGTAATCAACTATCTCCAACTGTTTCACAAGAAAACGGTGCACTATGTTCCAATGAGGTTGACGTATTGACTCTAGCAATGAATGCTTTTCAATGTACATTTTAATTTATTTATTATTGTTTGTCTTATAAAAAGAGCAAGGTTAAGAGTAACAAGTTAAGATAACGAAGAACAAAAATCAATAATATCGACAAAAATGTCTTGAGCGACGATTTTAGCGAGCTTTGTATATGTATCGATACTAATTATCTTTGTCTGTTTTGAAATTGATTTTATACATCTATTCATCAAATAAGATAACCAGAATAATCATTAAAAAAAGGGAAATTATCGAGTGGTTATTTTGATAATGAACAATAAACATTGATGGATGCAGTAAGAGCACTAGAAACGTAATTTTTTACGTAAAACTCAGCATATAGCTTCAAAACATGAAATTTAGCGATTGGTATGAAAAACTGTAAAAAATCAACAAGTAGCAATGAAAGTTTTTATTCACGTATAAATTGGTCAACTGTCAAGATAAAAGTCATTTTATAATTGGGATAAGAGCTTTATGTATTGTTAATGATATAATTGTAAAGTATTATTGACTATATTTAAATAATTATTGGTTTGAAATTTACTTTCAAGTTTTGTTGACATTTGAACCAAACTCGAGTTTTTCGTTTCACCATAACATTAACTTTTTGATTTATGTCAAGGCAAAGTTTATTCTGATTGTCATGATAATAAATAAATTAAACAATATTAATTTACATTTTTTGATATTTCTATCAATTATGAAAAGTACGATAGGTTTTATCTTTTTTTCACTTATTTTTTTTATTTAAGTTGTAGCTGACAATTATTTCATGTATATGGGCAATCTTGTATTATATATTTTTGATGTTCAGTTAATGAGTTTGAGTTTTACTGAATTTTAGATTTTTCATAATTTTTCTCGGTTCACTTACTAAATTTAATTAATTTATTGTAAAAATGTAGAAAGTAGTAATAGATTGAACAAATACTTAATTTTAACAGGTAAGTCATTATGATTATGCTCTCTCACTCTAGTTGTCTAGACCTTCCTAAAATGGTGAACGAAAAAATGTTTGAAATTTGTTAATAGACAAGATTTAATAGCTGAGCGTAAAAAAAAATAAAAGATAAAATATTAAAATAATATTAAAATAATTTAATATCTTAAAATCTATGCAACTATGCAATCTGAATATCGTACGTTTTCGATTGATTTGATTATCAATGCGGGATCAAGTTATCGCGTCAGTCAGCAGCAAAATGTGAAATTAACAAGAAGAGAAGACGAAGGGAAATACGGCTGTGGCTGTATGAATATATTTAAGACGAGTAAAGGGGCAAAACATAAGGAAACGAGAAGCGCTGTTGAAAGGATCTTTGTCCGATGTGCTTTTGCAACGAGGCAAGAACTGTCGTTGACCTATACAACAGCCGTTGATAAGTTGACTGACAAGAATAGGGGGCACATCTATCCCAAAGGTGGTTAGCAAAAAAAAAAGCACGACTAAGCGAATAAATAAAAGAGCGTGAGTTGTGTAAGCCAGGGTTCATGCACAGATGTAATAAGTGAAGCAGCGCTAGTAGTGGAGGGTCACGCTAGCTTTTTCTCGTTCTTTGGCCTGCCGGGAGAGAACACAATGTCGTTATTCCAGGTCAACGCTGTATTCTTTATAATCTCGCAGCTCGACAACGGCCAGAAAAAGGAGAAAAGCAACTTGCTAGCAATAGCCAAATATGGCGAGAGCTCCGATTGTACGTTCGTGTAATTTCGGTGTTACTTAGTCGCGCAGTAGCGCACTATTGAGCGATCGGCGTTCACGACTTGGCGCTACTTGGCGCTACTTGGCGCCTTCGTATCTTTGATCTGGAGCGGTCGATTTGCTGGCGGCACCAGCAGCAGCTGCCTGCAAGCTGCTTATTCGTAACACTTATAGCTCATTGTTTCGCTGCAACTGCAGCAGCTCACTCGCCGTTGGCGACAAGCTACGCACAAAAATGAGCAGTATTAGCCCGCTCCATTATCGTTGAGCTTGGGATAGACGCCAGGAATGTAGGCTATTTGAAATGACTCGAGCACCAAGTAGTGGTGTAGCGAGAGTCAGGTGAGTGAAAATGGCCAAGCGCAGTAGATCAAGGCTAGTTATGGTCAGACGCCAAATGCGCGAAGCGTCCAAATGGAAAAGCAGCTGCTCCGATGTCGCGAGCTCGACCGACCGTTAGCGTTCAGGCGAGACGGTGAGAAAGGAGCGCGAGGAGAAATACTAAGGGACAGAGGAGAGGCGCGAGAGCAGGCTGCTACGCGTAGCAGGCGAGAGGCGAGAGCGTACAGTAGAGCAGCTACGCCGCCGGTGGCGGCGGGGCTGGCTATTGATTTCAAGGGCTTCCTTTCGCCAGCCATTGCTCCCCTCCCCGCGCGCCTCGCCACTCGCAGCCCCTACTCCAGCGTCAGCTAAAATTTGCCTCCGGGTCACCCTCGGCAGTCCTCTCCCCTCCCGCACTCAACCCGTCCACCTTCCTACCTTCCTTCCTTCCTTCCTTCCTTCCTTCCTTCCTTCCTTCCTTTCTCCGTCGCTTGCCCGCTCGTGCTTACCTTCCCTCTCCTTAGCCTACTTTTCCCAATTTTTGCCTGCTGCGCTTACGCCACACGACCGCGTCCTCGGCACACCGCCAATTATGCCCTAATCGACACCAAGTTTGCTGCCGTAGCTCACCCTCCGCTGCAGCACCTGCGACGCGCGTTGGCGCCGCCACGCGTTCCTCCACCCGTTCTCTTCTGCTGACTTGTCTTCTGTAATCCTGCAATGGGCGCATGTCGCACTACCACTCGGTCGGCTACGACGCTTTGAAGCTTCTCTATCCCACAGAAATTCCAAGACCAAAGTCAAGCTATACGCGGACCTCGTAGCGCTAGCCCAAGCGGACCTGGCAAATCTGACGAGTCTTTTTGCTTGTATCTTTGCTGGCTGCCTGCCTCTTACATTATACTTGATGAGCAGAGGCTTTTGCCCATGCCTTGCTATTTTTAGTCGTTGCATTTGCGTCCAGCTCGATCAAACAATGCTGATCGTATTGAGACTTGAACGCTGTTAGAAGGATGTCTTCAGTGACGAGAGAGGTTTATTAGGGTATATACTTTCAAAGCCGACTCGTGTTGCAATTCTCGCGCGGAAAGATCGACGTTAGAGAGTTGGTTTCGAGCCCCTTGTCAAATCAGTGCAGCTTAGTCTAGCGACTCCTCTCGAGCTTGGTAAACTTTCGAGTTGGTCACCGCGATCGCTTCGCTACTTTCCGATGCGCATACAATTTTATTCTTGGATTGCACGCGACGACTCCGCGCGACCTCGAGTAATCGATTAATTAACTAATCGGCGTCAATGCTTAGGATGGCAAATTGACACGAGACGAGGCAGGCGGACGCTCGTGGATTACGAAAGGATGTATCATGGAGGTGGCGTAGAAAGGTGTCGACACAGGTCGATCGGCCCGACAGACAGTTTGCACAGGTAGATAGGAGTCGGTCGTCGCTGCGGCCAGAAACATTGTCGAAATTCGGGACAGCGGTGTGTCGGGCAAATTCCAAACAGGCAGACAGGTAGGCAGGTAGGCAAGCAGGCAGTGTAGGTCTCTCGATGGCAGCGGCCGAGGGGCGGCGTCTCGGGGTAGTAGCAGAGCGAGTGCGCAGGCGTCGGCAACACCGAGCGAGACGGAGAGAGCCGAGAGACCACCGCCTTCGCCGAGGGAGCGAAAGCCAGCAGCAGCAGCAGCAGCGAGCTTTCAGCCACGGTCACGTCCACGACGACGACGACGACGACGACGACAACGACGACGACGACGACAATTGCGCCGAGACTCGGTCATCGCGAGCTTACTAGGTCGTCGTAGCCGACGCACTGCCTCCTCGATATAGCCTCGTCGATAGCCGTTACGAGCCGTCGTTCTTCGAGGAAGCCTGCGATCGCTCGTCCGCGGTTGCTTTGCCATTTCGCGTCGTCGTTGGTCGCGTCAGTTTCGCGAGTGTGGTTGCACAGTGCCTACGTGCAGAAACGAGCCTAGTGAGCGGGGATCAAGAGAGAGCTCACGGGGATGCCTGCTGTCAGTGCCGCCGCCGGGGAGCGGAGTCGCCGCAGCCGCAGCCATCGGCGATGAGCAGCCGCACTACCTCGCCCACTCTCCGCTCTGGTGAGTTTCTGCTCCATCCGCGTGTGGCGGCTCCACGTCTTCTGCCTCTCCGTCGCTCTAGTTATAGCCCAGAGTGTGCAGTCTAGACGAACTCCGCTGTTCGTTCGCACACTCGTAGGCGCGCGCATGCACACGGACAGTCGCCCCAAGCTACTCTGCCCATACGTACACTGTCTCTCTGTAATCCTCCCCCCTCGTTTTCTCTCTGTCCCTCTCTCTCTCTCCCGCACGTTTAAAAATAATGAAAATTACAGTCAAGCATGGACTAGATAATTGTCATTGTTCGCTTTTCCAACGTCGCTGGCGTAGAAAAAGCTTGCAAGCTGCTAGCCTTCGCCACATCTCTGGCACTGAAAATCGAACGGACGGTGATTCGGTCGCAAGACAACAGCCTTCTAATGTATCTATTGACCGTGCACTTGGCTACGACAATTGATCGGCTAAGCACTGAATAAAACACCTTCGACTCTGTCGTCGTCTGGTTCTATAGACCGCAGCAGCGACGACTATAATGCTGCAGTCGAGAACGAAATAATTATTGTCTCGAGGGCGAAATTCAGCTCTATTTTTTTCTTTTTCTTTTGTCATTTTCTTTCAAAGTCCTCTTGGTGAAACTAATTGCCTTCGGGGTGCTCGGTCGCGCGATCTCTCGTTGTCAGTGGTCGATGTTGCTTTGTTGGAGGATACAACAGAGAGCGAGCGAGCGAGCGAGAGAGAGAGAGAGAGAGAAAGAGAGAGAGAGCAGGGAGGAGCTCATTAGGTTGGCGACTAAACAAATCATTAATGGCAGACTAGTCGCCGTAAAATTTTGGTAGGCTTTGACGAAGCAGTGCGATGTCGACTGCAGCTGACTAGGAGATAGGGGTGCGACTAGTCGAAAGATAGGAGCGAGACGGATCGCGAAGCTGAGTGTCCGAAATAGGTCAGGAAGATGAGGTGCAGCAGCAGCAATCGGGACTGAGCACGGGCACGCGAGAGTGGATTTTTGCGCCAGAACGCCAGAAGTCGAGCCGAGCGAGGTGGGCGTAGTGTGAGTATGTGCGCGCTCTCTCGGGCGACTGACGTCACTGCGGTCGTTCAACGGTCCGAAAATGCCGGGAGAGGGGGCGCAGGTAGCCGAGAATGAGACGGAAACGATGGGGACGAGCCCTCGGCTCCTTCGCAGTCTCACTTGGCTATCCGACACTGCATCAGCACATCCCAAATCTTTAGGTCACGCGCGCGCGCACGCACACACACGTAAACACGCGTGCGCGCGCGCGTACGCACACAGCTGTGGCGCGAGCATCAGCCTCCCTCTCTGGTTATCGAAATTTATACGAGCTCTTCTTACGCTCCGAAGCCTACTAAAGTTTGTTGCCTCCCGCGCGGTGCCTCCTTGTTTTCCCCTTCGAAATGGCTGTACGCCGTCACCGCGAGACAAATTTTGCCGCCGGCATTGTTTTGCATTAAGGCTTAATCCTTCAACGTTTGCGTACACTGCAGCACGCAGAACTGTGGAATCTGGCGTAACACAGCGTCAAAACTCCGATCGATTGTTCGATGACGTCTGTTACTCGGTAGATAATCATTTATTTTCCGATAGCATTACGCTAATGACAAATAGGCGGACAAAAGCTCGCGAGCGCTTTCGTAAACTGGCTTTCCACGCCTTGTAATCGTATCGGCAGCCCTCGTCCTTTCGCGAGCTTACAAAGAGAGAGAGAGAGAGAGAGAGAGAGAGAGAGAGAGGATGAGAGCGACAAAGTCACAGAGGGAAGCGAGGCTACGAAAAACAGTCTAGTTTGGCATCTCGCTTTTGTGTGGAGTCTGTGCGACGAGCCGTACGACATCGGAGACACAGAGAAGTGGCACTTTCGTGCGGTTGACGTGTACCTTAGCGGGCGTTTTATTTTGTTGTTTTCTTTATCGTCATCGTAACTGCAGTGCTCACGCACACGCATACAGGCGCGCCGGCAATAACAGATTTCAATTTTCATTTTATTGCTTGCTCGCTCACTCGTTTCGCTATGACACACTCTGTATAGCTTTCAATATTTTTTTCCTTGGAATGCCGAGTTCAAGCCCTTGTCTGTGGCACGTCTGCCACAGAGCTTCGGAAAAAGATCGTATACGTTTCACACTTTTTTCTATCGAATCCCTGCGTATCTGTCTTCATGTTCTTTATCACAGATTGTAAGTTTTTGGTGTCCTTGAAAGCTTCGTAGCTTGATAAAACGACCGCGACATAAAAAATAATGGCTAAAACTAAACGAGTGCTGCGGAAATTGCAATTTCGAAAAAAATAGTTTGCAGTTAGCGTTCGAAAGTGAATATCGAATGAAAAGGAGAGGAGGAGACTGGAGAGGCACACGGGGAGAGCATTCAAAAAAAATAAACGAAATGTCACCTGGAGAGTCGTAAACGCTGGCAACCGGCGCTGGCTGCTAATTAAGCCTCGGCACAGTATCGTTACCGCTCGCAACATCGACAACAGCGCTTTTCGCTGGCGCTGCACGTATTTGGGTATGTGCACAGACACAAGCTACAGCCAGCTACCGTTTACGTTCCGAGTCCGTGCTCACACGCGTGCGCCCAATCAACTCGATCGAGCGTCTTGTCCTTCCTCCCCGTGTATTTACTTTCCGCGCGAGCCTTCTGCTCGCCAAACTTTTCTTCTTTTTTTTTTCCTCGTTTTGGCTCTTTTTTCCGTTCAACTTCACATCGCGTATGCGCGCGCGTGTGCGCGCGTTCATCGTTAGTGCTATTCTTGGAGAGGCAGCCTTTTTCAATTTTAAATTTTATTTGCGATGGAATCCGGCCGTCCGCGCACGTCGTTTGGAACTTTGTATCGCGCACGCGAATCGCCCTGGAATTTTGGATGACGCGTGTTGCTTTAACAGCCAGCCGCGACTTCACGACCTGCCAGATTCTCTTCGTTATTGTCTCGTCAGTTTCGAAGCTATAATTTTGCACGAAATAGGAAAAATGAAAGTACAAAACGATTGGCTATTTTTGAGAAAAAGCATCGAGCGATAGAAAATCTCGGCAACAAATTGCACGCGAATATGTATAAAGCGTCGTCGTAAAAGTCGCGCGAAGAAGATGCGGAAATAGCGTCAAGTTAGAGGCAGCCAAAGTAGATAAGAAGTTAAATAAAAGAGGCGAAACAGCGCGCGAGGTGAAAATCAGCTATTCAATTTGGTCTTAGAGAATAAGTATATGCGCGCAAAGAGAGACTGGGCAAGTCTCCGAGGGAAAGTTTCATCGGGATCGCGATGGGCAAAGGCCGGGACAATACGGCTAAAAGTGTAGTAACGGCACTCGCGCGACCACTGCACACAGGAAGGAAGGAAGGAAGGAAGGAAGGAAGTCGAGATGGATTTGATTTTCGAGGGGCCATACACGTATCTACGCGCAGAGCCGCAGCGGCATAAATAAAATATTTATGCACGCGACGAGTTGGCTGGTATACGTCGCCTTGGCGTTCTGCTCGCGCGTGTGCGCGCATCGGTCCGCGCACGGGCGCCTGTATTTTCCCATTTTTCCTTCTCAATTTCCCATTCGTTTCCATTTTGCCATCGCGCGCCACCGCGGAATATACATTCCTAAAGTTCCTCGTACGCGCGATCGCACTGCTATCTTCTCTGCGAGCCCGCGCTCGCGCTTCCGATTTCTTTTTCCTTTTCCTTTGCGCGCGCGCTCCCATGCCGATTTTCATTTTCTACCCTCGCTTTATTTCGTCTATACCAACCGCCGGCACACGTACATTTTTCACCGCTGCGCGTCGGCTTACTTTTTAAATTATTCGTTGCGCCAATCAAGTTTTCACGGCAGTTCGAACAATTTTTCTTCTCTTTATTTGCGCATACGATTGTATCGAACAAAGACCGGAATATGTCGACATGGATTTGCCTAGGCAAGATTTGTTCAGGGTTATTGCCAGAAAGTGCAAATAATTACTGATTTCTTTGTCGACTGCATCGAGTCTCGTGGTTGCGAGTGCTTCCGAGGGATAAGTTGACAGACGTTCGTTGCGACCGACGAGAGCAAATCCGCAGTACGATCCACTTTGACTTTGGGCCGTTCTCGACAATGCGTGCATAGGCGCGTCATCGGGCTTTGCTCTCTGCGGTGCATTACTTTAATTAGTAGCGCACCGACTCGAGACTCGACGATCCGCACTCGTCAAGCCTGTCTAACCGGGCTACGCACCCTCGCTGTTCTTCTCTTCAGTCCCACAATCGCTCTAGTTTAATTGAACGCGAGGCTACGTAGAAGCACTGTGACATTAGCGTATAACGCGATATTGTTCCGCGTGGGAATAACAATGAGATAGAGAGCGGGAGGCGCGCGACAACGACGACAGCAGCGAGGGCGAAAGCTCGCGAAGAGAAAGGCAGCTCGCGACGCGATAAATTAGAGCGAGTCGCAGAGAAAGCAAACAATGGCTGCGAGATTTTCGAAGAGACGCGGCGGGCACGAAAGAGCATTATCTTATCCCCGCATCCCATCAACTCTGACGCGCATTTTCGCAGCGCCAGCAGCGACAACAATTGAAATAGACACCACTGCCGCGCGTCGCCGCGCCGAGCTTTTTACCAAAGCTCGTGCACTCCCGCCTCGCTTGATACGCCTCGCTCGTTGCGCCCAATGCAAAATTGTTATACTCCAGCCAGCGCAGCTGCTGGCTGTATACAGCGTGGCGAGCGCGAGCACACTCTTGCCTGCGCTCGGTCCATTCAGAACAGCGCCTATAGCATCGAAGCTCCGCCCAGCGCAGCTCGCTACGATTCTTGCTGGCCATCGTCGCAGCCAGCCAATTCTGATCAGCCGACGATTAGCGGGTGGCCAACTTTGCTCGAGTAGGCTCGTGATCGGAGCACCGATTTTTCACATTGTTTCTTCAATCTTCAGAAACGCCGTCGAAGCCCACCTACGAATAAGAGCATAAACGATCACGGATGGATTGAAAAATATACTGGGGACCGAGAGAGCTTGCACTTGGAATGCATTGGAAT